AAAAATCTTTCTGAAGAAGGGTCTAGGCCTGAAACGTCAGCCTTCCTGCTCCCCTGATGCTGCTTGGCCTGCTGTGTTCATCCAGCTCTACACCTTGTCATCTCAGATTCTCCAGCATCTGCAGTTCCTACTACCTTTGAATATTTTTAAGGCAGATGTAATTTGAAACTTGATCAGCAAAGGGGTGAAAGATTATTGAGATTAATCATGAATGTGAAGTTGAGACTAAACTCAGATCAGCCATAATCTTTCTGAATGGCATGAAGTGCTGGACGGCCCACTGCTCCTGACCCTAATCCATAGGTTTATAAATGTAACTCATCCATTCACTGGAGCTACCCCATGTTGTTGTGAATTCCATATTGCAATCACTCTCTATGTACAGAAGCTTCTACTTAATTGCCTATTGGGTTTATTAGTGGTCACCTAAGATACATGACCCCTAGTTCCAAAATTGCTCACAATGTTTTTTTTTTCAAAAAAGTAGTGCATCCAGTTACAAAATTTAAAACGAACAAAGATAGCTCTTCTAAAGATCTTACTTATCTACCAAGCCAGACAAGAACTTGTCAGCAACCCTTCGAATCCTCTTGTGAATATGGTTGAAATTCACCAACAGGAATTGGGCATGTTTCTCCAGTTCTTCCTCATTTTCTTTCGTTTTGGGCTGAAGGGGGTAGAACCAAGGCGTGTCTTTGTAAAGATTTGTCAATATAGATTCTTGAAAAATGCTTGAAAAGGTTAAGTTAAAGACAACTGGTTAAACCAAAGTACATCGTACCTTGTCTGCCATAACAGAGAGGAAAACATCAAACACTTTATCGGCTACTGCAATCACACATTGCATCATTCCTGCAGAAAGAAAAAAGCACAAAAATATATTAAATCTCTTAAAGATATTTGAAGAAGACTAATTTTCAAGCTATGAGGAAAACGTTGGGACTAAATTGAGTCACTGCTTCAAAGAGCTAGCACAGGCAGGAAGGATTAAGTTGGTCCCTTTGCTATTAGTTTCTATGGTTTGATGGAACTAAATTTTGAATATATATATTTGCTCAGGGTGCTTTATTGCCAATGCAGTACTTTTCAAGTGTAACCAGCGTTGCAATAGAGGAAAGGTCGTTAGTAGAGCTTGGTTAAAGAGATTGACTGGCAGTGAAGAAAACCCAGCCCAGGAAAAGCTGCCTAATAGGTATTAGGACAGTCAGATGCTGAATTCTGATTCTGCAAGCAGACAAATAGTAAATTATGTGGAAGCTGAGAAATGCTTTTTTATCAGAAGCAATTCCATGACTTCAATCCTCCAGTAGAACAACCAGCTCACAAATGTTTGAACTGTAAAGGTCAGGGAAAGAGGATTTTCAAAATCAGGAAACGCAGCAGGAAGTTTAAAGGGGAGAAATCGATTGAGAGAATGTACGCTTTTACATTAAGGGCCCACAAAAGTGAGCTTCTGTACAACTATTTTTTATTTTTGTAATGGTACACAACCAAAGTGTGGATATCAGTTGATATGTTTACCTCTCATAGAAGTCACACAACCTAGTTTGGTCTGCTGCGCAATGAAGCTGCTTAAAGTGGGGGAATAAATCGAAACAAATTCCATCTCATCTAATGTTAACTCAGTCCGCTTAAAGAGAGACTGACAGAGTATGGAGAACATGGTGATCTGGAGCAGATTACAAAACAGGTTCATTGTTGCACTTTCAGATCCCAGTATTACGCTTGTAGACACAGGGCAGTGGGAGTCAACTGTTGTAAGGACCAGATACTAAGAGAAGCTATTGACAACACTAAAACAGAGCACAAATCTACAGCAAAACTGAACTTTCAATCGTCCCCTACAAAAGCAAAATAAATAAAACAAAATAATATGCAAAATAGTGTGAATGCTAGAAATCTGAAATAAGAACAAAGAAAGCTGGAAAAGCATTCAAAAGGTCAGGCAGCATTTGTGATGAGACAATAACCATTGGAACTTGGAACTCTTTGTCTCCACAGATCTTTGTTGATACGTTTACCTGCTTTATCCTTCTGAATAGCTTTGTCTTCCAAATATCGAAACATGACTTGAAAACGGTCCTGGTCTGTAGAGCGGGATACCCTGTAAACACAATCTAGTTTACTAACAGTCATTCTACGCAGTCTAACTGCAGAAATGGGCTCATGCATTTTACATGATAAAGTTTCTCACACCTCATATACTCCAAACGGTATACAGAGAGCAGATAGGTAGACATTGCAAAATCCAATTTGTTAATGAGAGCAGAGACTTCTGGAGGAGGATCCAGGAGGTTTATGATGGTGCTTCTCAATTCATTCAGTTCAGCCTAACAATGATAAATAATAAAAAAAAATATATATGTCATTTAATACTAATTTAGTAGGTAATTTAAAGAGATGCTAGCAGATTTGCAGTGAAAAAGGACAGTAGAAACATACTTATTAAAATCATTGCTGGACATGCTCCACAGTATTCTAATCTCCTAACACTTATTTTCTTCACTTTTGAGCATCCAAAGAGCAAATTTTAAAGAATGCGATCAATTACAGTGCCTGTGCATTTAGCCATTTTTTTTACACTACTTCCATGACAGGCCTGCTTGGTTTGACTATAATCTCCCCTCAGTTCTTTCAAAAAGTAGATGAGGGACTGGCACAGAACAATTCACATGTTCAGAAATGCCTGAAGCTCAACTACTCCGCCACTTCCTATTTCTACCAAATGCAACAAAATTTGGTACAAAGCATTCGTGCCCCTACAAAACGGCAGTCCCCTGTTCTAATTGAAATGACTATATCTGAGGCGATTTGTGTGGTATACTAGTGACATGTGGCTGGCAGTTAAGAGTGACAACTCAGTGGTACAGATAGATGGGTTTGAGAATCTGATTTTAGAGATTTCTATTTTAGAGATAAAAGTTAGAAATGTAAGGTGATGGGGGTCACTCCGAGGAACTTGATGCTGTTCACCCCCTCACCCTCAGTTCCGTTGATGTAGATGAGGGTGTGTTCTCCCTTTTTTTTCTGAAGTCAATGATCAGTTCTTTGGTTTTGCTGACATTGAGAGACAGATTGTTTTCATTGCAACACTTCACCAAGCTCTCTATCTCCCTTCTGTACTTTAAACTCGTCATTGTTAGATATCCGTTAGATCTGATTCTATCCTTAAAATAGAAAATGGTGGACATATGCAACAGGGAACTACATTTGCGAAACCTTGTTTTTTTTAAATTTGCGTCTTTCTCCTAATACTTTCACCAAGTAAATGTTATCTGGACAAATAACATAATTTATACAGCTTGCTCCATTGGGATGGGGTTTGGGGGAGATCGAAGATACAAAGTAAATTCTTGACAAATATTAACTCCTGCAGCAGCGGCATTTCAAAACAATCTCCCGAATGTATTTCATCATTGCTAGTTATCATTTATGGTATGTTCCGAGGGAAGAGTGGCACTGCTCTTTTTGTCTGATAAAGGATTACTGCGTACAATGACAGTCAAAGCAGGCAAGAAGGCCATTCAGCCGATCATGTCCGTGCTGGCTCTTTGAAAGAATTATTTGCTTATTCTACACTCCCGGTCTTAAAATCTCCCCTTATCAAGTCCATATCCAGCTCCTTTTTGAAAAATTACTTTTTCTCATTCCTTATTTCAGAGAAATGACCTACTGCTCACCAGTTACTAAGGCAGATGAATGCTTAAAGGTTTCAACAAAGGCCTGAACCTATATCAGAGTCATTCAGTTATATCCCGTACTCAGGCAGTGCGGTATCAAAATTCAAATATGCCAGAACGTCCTTTATGGGTCTTTTATGTCTCAGCAAACAGAACTCTTTTATCCCAGTCAGAAAGAGAGAGTTCAAGCCCTATTGCATAGTATTCAACACAAAAACCTGGGCTGACACTCCAGTGCAGCACTGAAGGGAGCTGTCGATCTAATTAAGTTTTAACAGGAGGCTATATCTGCTTTATCAGAAAGCACATACAATGTGCCTTAATGACTACTGCCCAGTGGCTCTGACCTCAAGAATCATGAAGTGCATTGAGGGGCCGGTCATGGCACACATCAGCTCCAGTGTCCCAGCTTGATCCCCTATTTGCCTACTGATGTAACAGGTCCAAAGAGAATACTATATCCCTGGCCCTGCACACATCCCTTGAACATCTGGACAACAAAAACACTTTTGTCAGATCCCTGCTCATTGAAGTTGGAGCTGTAGTCAACACCATTATCCCCTCCAGACTGATCTCAAAACTGCTCCAACCTCTGCAACTGGATCCTCAGCTTTCTGACCCATAGACCACAATCACTGAAGATAGGCAATTGCACCTCCTCCACAATGTAACCCAACACTGGAGCCCCTCCAAGGATGTGTCCTCAGCCCCCTACTGTACTCCCTGTGTTGCCAAATTCCGAACGAACATCATCTACAACTTCACTGACAACACCACCATAGTGGGACGGATATCTAACAATGACGAGTTTAAAGTACAGAAGGGAGATAGAGAGCTTGGTGAAGTGGTGCAATGAAAACAATCTGTCTCTCAATGTCAGCAAAACTAAAGAACTGGTCATTGACTTCAGAAAAAAAAAGGAGAACACACCCTCATCTACATCAACGGAACTGAGGGTGAGAGGGTGAACAGCATCAAGTTCCTCGGAGTGACGACAACCGACAACCTGTTCTGGACTTCCCACGTAGATGCGACAGTCAAGGCACAGCAACCCCTCTTCTTCTTCAGACAGCTCAGGAATTTTTTTTTTTATTCATTGATGGGATGAGGGCGTTACTGGCTAGGCAGTATTTATTGCCCATCCCTAATTGCCCAGAGGGCAGTTAAGAGTCAACCACATTGCTGTGGGTCTGGAGTCACATGTAGGCCAGACCAGGTAAGGATGACAGTTTCCTTCCCTAAAAGGACATTAGTGAACTAGGTGGGTTTTTCCAATAATCGACAATGAATTCATAGTCTTCACTAGATTCTTAATTCCAGGTATTTATTGAATTCAAATTCCACCATCGGCAGTGGCAGGATTCGAACCTGGCTCCCCAGAACGTTATCTGGGTCTCTGGGTCAACAGTACAGCAATAGTAACACTGGGCCCATCACCTCCCCAATTTGCATGTCCATAAGGTACTTCACTAACCTATACAGATGCACCATTGATAGCATACTGTGCGGGTGCATAACGGCCTGGTACGGCAACTGCTCTGCTCAGGACTGTAAGAAACTACAGAAGGTAGTGTGCACATCCCAGACCATCACAGAAGCCAACCTTCTATCCATGGACTCCATTTACACAAATCGTTGCCGCGGAAAGGCTGCCAACATCAAAGACCCATTGCACCCCGGTAATGACCTCCTACAATCTCATCCGTCAGGCAGAAGATACAGAAACCTGAACACACGCACTAGCAGGTTCAGGAACTGCTTCTTCCTGGCCGTTATCAGTCTGATAATTTATCAAATAATGCTGATCTTGCTAACATTGATCTCACCTAGTGTATGCCCTGTGCAATGTAACCTGTACGCTTCTGTCCAAGTCTTTTTTATCTGTATTTCCGTTGCTTACTATGATCTGCCTGCGCTGCTCGTAAACAAAGTTGCTCACTGTGTTTCAGTACACGTGACAATACATAAATCAAACCATGTAGACCTTGCTATGCAGAATTGACTGGTCATTTCCTACATAATAACAGTGTCCAGGCTCCACACTTCAAAAAGTACCCTATTGTCTGTAAAGCATGTTGGAATGCCCTGAGATCATCAAAAAGGCACACACAAAAACATGAGCTCTTATTTCTTTTATTAAGTTTCTGGGTTTTTTTTTGCATTTTCGTGGATGTTAGTTGCAGTGCAACTTCAGTTTCTTATCAAGAGGATTAAAGTAGTTTTTCAGCCTCTTCTTTCCCACCACATGTAACATATCTACCCAGATTGGCTGCTGCCCTTTACATTGACCTTGGCTTGTTGCAACGAAAAGATGTGGTCACTTGTCTGCCAAATTTCACTTTCTTCCCTTGTGGCACAAAAAGCAGGGTTTCCTGGATCACTTAGCCAGCAGCTGAGCCAAGAATGAAAATTTAGGAGTGAATTTTCACCCTGTGCAGCCATCAAGTACATGAGTACATACGGACACTGGATCACCATGTCCAAGACTAGTGAATATTTTGTTTCAATCTCTGGAAAAATGTGGGTGTCCTTACCGGAGAAACCGTGTCATTCTTCAGGGCAGAGTTATACTGCAGCTCCGAACGTAATGGCTCTCCTCCAGGAAAGGTTAGCAGCGGAGACTTGGTGGCTATTTCACACACCCCCTCATACCACTCCTCTGGCCAAAGGCCTGCAGGAATGAAGAAACATGTCATTATCAATTGGAAATATCAAATTTAGTGAAAAGAACCCAGGGCAATGTCACAGAAACCCCAATTGAGATATGACAGCTTCCATCATTAAACAATATGACAGTGTGCTATTTGTCAACATTGCACAGAAACAAACTGGATAACATGTGAAAGAATTAACACACACTGTCAAACCTTATAAAGAACAAAGAAAAAAGAAAATTACAGCACAGGAACAGGCCCTTCAGTCCTCCAAGCCTGCGCCGATCCAGATCCTCTATCTAAACCTGTCATCTATTTTCCAAGGATCTGTATCCCTATGCTCCCTGCCCATTCATGTATCTGTCTAGATACATCTTAAATGACGCTATCGTGCCTGCCTCGACCACCTCCGCTGGCAACGCGTTCCAGGCACCCACCACCCTCTGTGTAAAGAACTTTCCTCGTATATCTCCCTTAAACTTTTTCCCTCTCACCTTGAAATCGTGACCCCTCGTAATTGAGTCCCCAACTCTTGGGGAAAAAGCTTCTTGCAATCCACCCTGTCTGTACCTCTCATGATTTTGTAGACCTCAATCAGGTCCCCCCTCAACCTCCGTCTTTCGAATGTAAATAATCCTAATCTACTCAACCTCTCTTCATAGCTAGCACCCTCCATACCAGGCAACATCCTGGTGAACCTCCTCTGCACCCTCTCCAAAGCATCCACATCCTTTTGGTAATGTGGCGACCAGAACTGTATGCAGTATTCCAAATGTGGTCGAACCAAAGTCCTATACAACTGTAACATGACCTGCCAACTCTTGTACTCAATACACTGTTCGATGAATGAAAGCATGCCGTATGCCTTCTTGACCACTCTATCCACCTGTGTTGCCACCTTCAGGGTACAATGGACCTGAACACCCAGATCTCTCTGTGCATCAATGTTCCCCAGGGCTTTTCCATTTACCATATAGTTCGCTCTTGAATTGGATCTTCCAAAATGCATTACCTCGCATTTGCCTGGATTGAACTCCATCTGCCATTTCTCCACCCAACTCTCCAGTCTATCTATATTCTGCTGCATTCTCCGACAGTTCCCTTCACTAGTCTGCTACTCCACCAATCTTAGTGTCATCTGCAAACTCGCTAATCAGACCATCTATACCTTCCTTCAGATCAGTAATGATTCATTATTTGTAATTCAGACATATGTTTTTGAAAAGAATTACTTAATTCTTCCCTCATCACTGGTGCTCCTATCTTCTGTGGGCAAATTCTGCACCACTACGAACTTTAAAAAGTTTAAATTAGCTTTGAAAGGAAGTGTAATGCCTTGAGCTAACAGGGTGAGTTAAAAGACGTGCAAGTAAAGTTGCCATAATCCTACCGGACCATGGGGATGTTCTCTCATTAGATAGAGACGACAGGTGGTGGTTTAATCTGAGGGTCACCACTACTCAGTCAGGGGGAGAAGTTTAGGAAGAGTCTCCTTTATCATAACATCAGCTGGTGCAGAAATAAAACTCATGCATCACTCTGCATCACTAACCAGCCATCCAGTAACCTGAGCCAAGTACAGCCGTATATGCCAGTAATTTTTGGAAACTCCCGTGACAAATAAGATTCTGGCCATACAAGCTTGAAGAGTTTTCCAAACTATTTGTTCAAATTTACTCCCAGATATTTATCATGGACTCACTGAAGTCTAAACATTTAAAAGAGTTGCATGTTTGCTGTAATATGGCAGGCTTCATGAAGTAATTTGACTGATTCAAGGGAGGAAAAGAAAGGAGAATGACAGAAAAAAATAAATGAATGAAAAGGAGAGAAAAAAAAAAAGAAGGAGTGCGGTGAAATGAAAATCTATTACATTGATAAGGGATTTAGACATTTTATAAAAACCAAAAGAACTGCAGATGCTGTAAATCAGAAACAAAAACAGAAATTGCTGGAAAAGCTTAGTAGGTCTGGTAGCATCCGTGAAGAGAAATCAGAGTTAATGTTTCGGGTCCAGTGACCCTTCCTCAGAGCTGGTGGTAGCTAGGAAAATGTTGGTTTATATGCAGAAGACAGGGTCGGGGTAGGGAGTAAGAAGTAAAAGATAGGTGGGGATAGAGCCCAAAGAGAGAGAAGAACAGTTGGATGGACTGGTTAGACATTTTATAAGTTCAACAACTAAATTCCACATACATTAACTAAGTTCACAAGTACACAGCAATAATAATGATAAGTGATTTATCATTGCTCAAGTCCCTTAGAAACAGTTCCACAATTTGGAAATGTTCACTGATGATTGTGCAATGTTCAGCCCCATTCATAGCTCCCTCAATACTGAAGCACACCAAATGCATATGCAGCCAGATCTGGACAATATCCAGATTGCAGTTGTTACTTGCCACTTATTAGCTATGTCATACAACTGCTAGACAATGACAATCTACACCAGGACAGAATCCATTCAATGGCATTGCCATCACTGTATCCCTAATATCAACATCCTGTTGACTAGAAACTGAACTGGATCTGCAATTTAAATGCTGTGGCTACAACAGCAGGTCAGACACTGGGAATTCTGTGGTGTGTAACTTGTTTCCTGACTCCTCAAAACCTGTTCTCGAGTCAGGAGAGTGATAGAATATTCTCCCCTGGCCTGGATGGCTTAGCTGACCTCTTGTCAACTGGTGAATACTTAAGGAAGATGACTGCACCATCTCAAGAGTTAAAATGGATTGATTTTAACATATACCTCAAAACTTTGGAAAAATGTTGATAATCTTGTTAAAAAGCAAAATCTGTGATTTCTCACACTGACTTAACCAACTTTTCAAATGTCACTCGTTAAAATTATGAATCTGATCAAAATTTTTATTTGTTTTTGCGTTGCAGTGATGTTAAGCCATGCCTACAGCCGGTCTCACATGCAACTAATCTGTGCTGCTGAGCTTCACTAGCAGACAGCTGGAGGCAATCCTCCCTCAAGAAACCCGAAATTCTCACCACTGGGATCCCTTTAGGACTTTGCGGAGATTTATTCATTCAGTTAGCTGCAAGCACTAATCCAGGCAGTTGCTTTTGGGACTTTCACCAAACTAGAGTCTTCATAACAACCATGTTACAGCACAGCATGTTATCATTCTCTCAGGTACCTGAGCCCTCCACAGCAAAGCCCATTACGACTGAGTAGAGCCAGAAGTCTCGGAACAGCTTCTGAAGCCTGGGTTTCGCATCTTTGATCAGAGGGAGCCGTCTTGTCAGCTGCAAAACAGAAGTCACATAACCAGAAGTTCCATCAAACACACTTGTCTTAACAAACGCACTTGTCTCAACACACATTATGAAATCTTCAGTCAGGAGGTTTGCAACTAGTCTGGAGAGAAGGGAAACTGTAAATAAGTACAAGTCTAAGTCTAAGTCTATCTGTACCCCCCTTTCTCTCATACTAGGGAAGAATCCAATTGGATGGTCTTTATTTAGCTTCCAACAGCAACTGAACAAGTATCAAAGTTTAAACCATGTCCACACCTAAGGCCGTAAGAGACATAGGAGCAGAAGTAGGTCAAGTCTACTTTACCATTCAATGAGATCATGGTTGAGTGTTGCAGAACAGAGAGCTAGAGGTGCAGGTACATAATTCTTTGAAGTTTGTGTCACATATAGACAAGGTGGTTAAAAAGGCATTTGGCACGCTTGCCTTCATTGCTCAGTCCTTTGAGTCTAGGAGTTGGGAAGTCATGTTGAGATTGTACAGGACATTGGTGAGGCCTCTTCTGGAGTACTGTAAACAGTTCTGGTCGCCCAGTTATAGAAAAGATATTGTCAAGCTGGAGAGGGTTCAGAAGAGATTTTCCAGGATGTTGCTGAGTATTGAAGGTTTTGAGTTATAAGGAAAGGCTGGGGCTTTTTTCACTGGGGCATAGGAGGTTGATAGGCGACTTGATAGAAGTTCATAAAATAATGAGAGGTATAGATAGCATCAATGGTAGTTGTCTTTTCCCTAGGATGGGGGATTTCAAGACTAGGGGACACATTTTTTAAGGTGAGAGGACAAAGGTTTAAAAAAAAGACATGAAAGGCAATTTTTTTTTAAACTAAGAGAATGGTTCGTGAATGAACGAACTTCCTGAGGAAGTGGTACAATTACAACGTTTAAAAGACATTTAGATAAATACATGAATAGGAAAAGTTTGGAAGATATGTGCCAGGAGGAGGCAGAAGGCACTAGTTTCATTTGGAATTATGTTTGGCATAGACTGGTTGGTCCAAAAGGTCTGTTTCCATGCTATATGACTCAATGACTATGACTCTATAACTGCTTTATCTGCTAACCCTTGATTCTCTTACTGATTAAAACTTGCTGATCTCAAACTTGAATATGCTTAACAAGACAGCCCACACAGCTCTGTGGTAAAGAATTCCACAGATTAAACTACCCTCTGAGAAAAAAAAATGTTCCGCATCTGTTTTAAATGGGCAACGTCTTATTCTGAGATTATACCATCTGGTCCTACATTCTCTCACAAGGGAAAACAACTTTGCCACATCTACCCTGTCAAGCTCCTTAAGAAACTTGTGTTTCAGCCAGGTCTCTTCTCATTCTTCTAAATTCCATGGAGTTCAGGCCGAAACTATTCAACCACTCCTCATCAGAAAATTTCTGCATATCTTAGCGAATCTTCCATGGAATGTTTCCAATACCAGTAACTTTTTTTTTAAGGTAGGGTTAGGGGAGCAGTATTCCAGCTGTGGGGTCTGACTTGTCCCTTTTTAGTTTTAGCAAGCCCCTCCCATTCTTATACTGCATTACCTTTGAAATGAAGGCCAACGTTCCATTCACCTGCCCGATCATCTACTGAATTTGGATTTCCAAGGATCCCCAAATCCCTCTAGGTTGCAGATTCCGGCAGTCTTTCCCTACTTAAATAATATTCAGTTTCTCTATTCTTCCAGGCAAAGCGCAAAACTTCACATTTCCTTCATGATAGCCCACTTGCCGAGTTTTTCCCACTCAACTGTCTATATTCCTCTGTAGACTGTGTGCCATCACCACCACATACTTTTGCAACATCTGCAGACTTGGTCATAGTACATTTAGTTCCGTAATCCAAGTCATTAATACACACTATAAATATCTTTTCCCCTCTGTGAGTTGACTGAGTTGACAGGATTGTTCATGCAGAGAGTCAAAAATATCTTTGGTGTAAAACATCTGATTCCTGTGCCACTCCACTCATTAAAAGTTGCCATCCGAAAATGTCCACCTTATCCCAACTTACTATCTTCTACGCGAGTGATACCTTACCCGACGCCTTTATATGTTACAGCCATTTGCTTCCTTTGTCTATTCTGCTTGTGACCTCCTCAAGCACTGCAATACATTTTGCAGGAATGATTTCCCCTTCATGAAGTTATTCTGACTCTGCTTGATGACAGTATACATGTATAATTGCTCTGTTATTGCATCCTTTATAATCAACTCCAATACCTTCCCAATGACAGATATTAAGCTAACTGGCCGATATCTACCTGTTTTGTGCCTCCCTTCCTTTTTGAATGATGTTGAAACGTTGGCAGTTTTCAAATCTTCTGGGACTTTTCCAGACCCTAAGGGTTCCTAGAAGATTATGACCAGTATATCCACCATCTCTACAGCTACTACCTTTAAAATCACAGGATGCAACCCCTCAGATCCAGAGGACACATTAGTCTTTAGCCTAAGTAGTTTCCCTAGTATTTTTTCCTCTTGCATTTAGAGAGTGTTTATTTACCCACCCACTTTTGCCCCTTGAATATTTATCATTTTTGGAACGCTCATAATGTCTTTACCATGAAGACTGATGCAAAATATTTATTTATCTCTTTCAACTTAGCCATTTTTTGGTCCTCCATTATTATTTCCCAGCCTCATTCTCTAGTACTTTCACTTTGGCTTCTCTCTTCCTTCTTCTACATTTAAAAAAAAACTCTTACTGCCCATTTTTTTTCTTATTAGTTGGCCCTCAATTTATCTTCTCACCTTTTTCTGATCATTTTGGAAAACTTTCCCAATATTCTGATTTTTCATTAACCTTTGTCACATCTGAAATGATACCTCCTTTTGAATTTGGAAAAGGGTGAAGGTCCCACTTAAATCAAAGACTGGGATCTTCCCATCTTCAGACTAAACTTGAAAGCAGGAATTTTCAGGAGGGAAATCTATGGTCTACAAAACTAACAATGTCTGACGGTTCTTCTGGCAATAAAGCAGCTGATTAACAGAAAAGCTGTCGGCTGCCAAGCTAGAAAGTCCCGCCCACCTGGATGTGCTGGCCAATCAGAGGCCAGCATATCTAAACCAGCAGCTCCATACCAGAGGTCATGGTAGCTGCTCAGATGGGAGATCAACATGGGGAAAGGCAAGTGCTGTTTTAGTGAATGGGGTGGTGGGCTTGTTTCTCGGATGGGTATGAAATCTACGCTATTTCTATATCCCATGTTGTAAGCCTTCTCTGGTTCAAGAGGTTTCTCTTTACTTCTCTACTGGACATTATTAGTTTTTTTTTTAAAATGACCCCCAATTTTGAATTTCCCACACAACTGGAAACATTTTCTCAACAAGTACCCCATCAAATCATCTCAGAATTGTGAAGACCTCCATTTGGTCACTCAAAAGTCTTCTCTTTACTGTATCCTTTACTGGGTGAGCACTAGCAATTTTGGTTCAAGCTATAGGAGGTGGAGCTGTGGCAAACGTGGTATGAGTAGCACAGTCAAAAGGACTGTGATCAGTGGTCAATTTACCATGCCTTTCCTCCCAACAGCAAGCAGGGATCCCATTGGGCAGGCTGAAACAAAGTTGACTGAGTTGACAGGATTGTTCATACAGAGAGTCAAAAATATCTTTGGTGTAAAACATCTTTTCGATCAATCTGCCCACTTATCTATGTGCTAGGTCTGCCTTCTTGCACATACCTAGGTCAGGCACATTAAAGTTGTATTCCTATTATTGATTAATCCACTGCTATTTCTGTAGCTTGAAGAAAATCTACTCTCCAAGAGAATTTTTCAGTTGTCTCTGATCATTATCTTCAATGCTTTCTTCTTTCTCATGTTCAATCGTGGATCTACCAAACCTTGTTGTTGTCATTTGCATACCTGCCACACCCACGCAATTTGGTTCTCTACTTGTCCCCTTTACCTTATCTGCTTTGCACCACTTAAACTTGTTATTGTTCAATCTCTCTCGGCATCCAATTTATCACAAACTTCCTACTTTGATCTTCTCATCCTCAATCCCTGCCTCTGTTCTTGGTTGACACCTGTTAAATCTCCAATTTTATAAGATCATTGACCTGAAATATTAACCCTATTTGCCTCTCCATAGTTACTCAGTAGTTTCACCATTTTCTGTTTACATTAAAATGAACAGAATCCTTGGCAGAAAAAAACATTTCTGAATCAGTCTAACAGTTTGCTTTCAACCTAATGGGGGCTCAGACTATGACTGGGCAATCAATTAATTACATAATTAGTGTATTGTATCTTTAACCTAGCACTATGAAGTCGGACTAGAATAATTTAGAATGATTTTGTTGTAGTGTTTGAAGCTCATGGAATGTTACTACCCAAGTAGCTACATCTACTGTAACTTAAAGCTAACCATCAATATAATTTGTTTTTGTTGGGGGGACTCCAGAGTAAATATAAACATATTGGCAGTCACTTTAAAACTGCTTTACATACAAGGTTGGTAGAAAACATTTGACAGACTATAGCCTTGAAACAAATGATAGGCAGTTAACCCTGTAATCGAATTAGAACATCGTTGTGAGGTTGAATGTCTTCAATAACTGTTTTTTCGGGACAACATTCTCCCTATTTTTTCCTGAAACCTCTGCCTTCCAGTTGTTTGCCCAAATGACCAAGGACAGCAAGTGTTGATTGGCTACTAAACTGCAGGGTACCTCACAATTGAGCTCAATCTGTGACAACAAGGTGCAGGGCTGGATGAACACAGCAGGCCAAGCAGCATCACAGGAGCAGAGAGGCTGACGTTTCGGGCCTAGACCCTTCATCAGAAAAGGGGGAGGGGAAGGGGGTTTTGAAATAAATAGGGAGAGAGTGGGAGGCGGATAGAAGAGGGATAGAGGAGAGGATAGGTGGAGAGGAAACAAACAGGTCGAAGAGGCGGGGATGGAGCCAGTAAAGGTGAGTGTAGGTAGGGAGTTAGGAAGGGGATAGGTCAGTCCAGGGAGGACGGACAGGTCAAGGGGGCGGGATGAGGTTGGTCGGTAGGAGATGGAGGTGCGGCTTGAGGTGGGAGGAGGGGATAGGTGGGAGGAAGAACAGGTTAGGGAGGCAGGGACGAGCTGGACTGGTACCTACCTACACTCACCTTTACTGGCTCCATCCCTGCCTCTTCGACCTGTTTGTTTCCTCTCCACCTATCCTCTCCTCTATCCATCTTCTATCCGCCTCCCACTCTCTCCCTATTTATTTCAAAACCCCCTTCCCCTCCCCCTTTTCTGATGAAGGGTCTAGGCCCGAAACGTCAGCCTCTCTGCTCCTGTGATGCTGCTTGGCCTGCTGTGTTCATCCAGCCCTGCACCTTGTTGTCACAGATTCTCCAGCATCTGCAGTTCCTACTATCTCTGAGCTCAATCTGTCTTCACCCAACATCCCAGTGCAGAATCTTCCAGCAGGAGTCACTGAAGCACACAGGAGCAGCAACCACTCCAGAACTTCAAATCCCCAGATTAAATGAGCCCGAGGCCAACATTCAGCCAGGTTAAATTGCAGAAATATGTTCAGTGAAAAATGCACACCAGGATATATGTACAGCAACTCAAAATTGATTGGAATCGTCTTGCCCAATGGGAATATTACATGTCCTAAAGTGTTTGATTTTAGGTTGTTTGCTTTCTCATTGATCAATGCACTGAGGACATTAGGTCAGATCTTTATGAGCACAGCTTTCGAAAAACACAACCTTTTGATTTCAACAGCACAAGTCTGCTCTCCTACATTGTCCTGCAGGTAAGCCTATTTGAACAGTTTAAATTAAGGCCAATTGATTTAGATTACAAACTCATGTCAAAAGTGGTGATAATTTATTGAGGAGCTGGTGTATTTTACTAGAATGAACATTTGCATTTTACAGAAAGGATTAATTCTGAAAAGTGCTCTTTTGGGCAGAAGAATGATATCAAATCCTTTTAATAGTCATGAGCAGAAACAGATTCTGAAAAAGTCCACATGGAACAATTTTTTTAAAAAAATGTATCATTTATGCAATAGGATTTTAAAAAGAAATTAACAAAATTTTCAATTTTCCTTTGGGGTAACAGGTTATGTGGAACAGAAATATCATGTCTTTGTTTTGTATATTCCAACAACTGTCCTCAGGGGTTGTTCACAAATCACCCTCCAATAAATTAACATTTGTGGCGTTTAGAAAAAATAATCCTTTCCAAGTGGAGGTGGAAAAAAAAGTGATTTTCAAAACTGCTTTGAAAATTACTTCATCTTTTACAATGCATGCCATTTACAAGTCAAGGTAGCAGCTGGGTAACTCATTCTACTGCACTACCCTCATGCAACCATGCCAAGCTATGTTTAACTTAACTGTGCCTTTATGGTTATAAAGACAAAGAGAACTGGATATCCTTGGTCGCAGGACAAACAGGTGTTGTGGGAAATAAAGCTTCCAAGATGAATTCTGCCTCTTAAAAACAAATACTTTAAAAACTCCGACTCCTCACTTTAAAAGACAACATCAGAAATGAATAACTTCTCCTTTCTCTTTCAGGCCTTTTAAAGAAATATATTTAAAAATCTCATTTTTTATTGGTGGGTCCTTATTTGTTAAGTTTAATTATTGATAATAATTACTAGTTTACAAATGTACTGAAGATAACTCAGCACAAGTGTGTCACAATGTCAGCTGTAGCTGAGGTGATCACAGTCTCAGCCCTGAGTTAGAAGGTTATGGATTTAAGTTGCACTGCAGGACTTGTGCACAAAAATCAAGGCCAATATTCCAATGCAGTACTGAGGGACTTCTGCGCTGAAAGAAACATGGTGATGATGAGATGTTCAATAGTTCTGTCTATTCTCAGTTGGCCATCCAAGATTTCTTTGAACTATTTTGAAGAAAAAGCACAGTAGCTATTTCTGATGTCCTGATGTATACTTATCCTTCAATTATCACCACAAAACAGGTTATATGGTCATTATCACCATTTATTTGTAGTGGCTTGCTGCATGCAAAATGATTATGGCGTTTCCTACATTACTGAGATCACAGCTCAGAGATACTCCCAATGTCTAAAGTGGTTCGGGGTGTCACATGGAAGGCACTATATAAATGCAAGTCTTTACACACCTCTGTAGACATAAGACTATTAAATATTTAACGACAAAACAGACATTGGAAGAGAAAGATGGAAGAAAGGGAGAAGATCTGAAAGATAAATGCATGACATTTGCATTCATACAGAACTTTCTACATTCTCAGGAAAATCCCAAAGTACTGAAGAGCTAACCAGTTACCTCTGTAGCAAAGTCACTGTTGTTGTGTAATAAGCTAATTGGGCATAAGAAAATAAATGTCTACTTAACTGTTCTTTATGATATTTGTTGAGAAATGAATGTTGATTAGGACACCATAAGAATCTGCATTTTCTCAAAAAAAAAGATGAAATCTTTTACATCCACATCAAATAGGGCTGTCAGTTTAAATATCTCATCTGAAAGATGGCAATTCCCATGAGCACGCAAGGAATGTCCTCTTATATGATGTACTTAAGGAGTCCTAGCAAAACTGGAATCAACGGGAATCAGGGAGAAAACTTTCTGCTGGTTGTAATTATACCTGACACAAAGGAAAATGGTTGTGGGTGTTGGAGGTCAGTCATCTCAACTCTACGATATCTCTACAGGAGTTCCTCAGGGCAATGTCCTAGACCAAACAATCTTCAGCTGCTTTATCAATTACATGCCCTTCATCAGGAGGACAGAAATGGGGATGTTCGCTGATGATTACACAATGATCAGGACCATTCAATTCTCAGAGACTAAAGCATTCCATATTCAAACACAACAACATTTGGACATTATGCAGGCTTAAGCTGAAAACTGGCATGTATTATTTCCACCTTACGAATGTCAGGCAATGACCATCTCCAACAAGAGATAATCTAATCACTGCCCCTTGACATTTAATGATGTTGCCATCACTGAATCCCTCCACTGTCAACATCCTGCGGCTACTATTGACCAGAAACTTAACTAGACTGACCACATAAACACAATGGTTATAAGAGCAAGTCAGAGGCTAAAAATATTGTAGCAAATAACTCACCTCCTGACTCCCCAAACCCAGTCCATCATTTACAAAGGTACAAGTCAGGAATGTGATGAAACACTCGCAACTTGAGTAGATGGGTGCAACTCCAGCAACACTCAAGCTGACACCATTCAGGACAAAGTTGCATACTTGATTGGCACATCCACAAGCATCCATCTCTTCGGCTACCATCACTCAATGGCAGCAGGGTGTACTATCTACAAGACGCACTGCAGAAATTCAATGATCCTCAGACAGCACCATCCAAACCCACAATCATTTCCATCTCTAAGGACAAGGGCAGCAGATACATGGGAGCACCACCATCTACAAATTCCCCTCCAAGCCACTCCACACCCACCTTTATTCAAAATCCCGGAATTCTCTCTTTCACAACACTGTGGGTCCACTTACAATGCACGGACTGCACCAATTCAAGAAGACAGCTCACTACCACTTTCTTGACAGCAACTACAGACGGGCAATAAATGCTCACCCAACTAGTGACACCTATATCCAACAAGTGAAGAAGTGGAATGGGGTTTGAACCCAAAACCTTGCAAAAACCCACTGTAGCAACTTGACACTTGCTAAATTTATATCTTCCAGACGTTGCATCTTTGTTGCAAGCATGTTGGCGCATAATTTGCAAGCATCTCTAAATAACACTTCTGAAGTTTAAAATTTTAAATTTCAGATCTTCGTGGTTGGCATTTTGTGCAGATGGGGAAATAAACAGAGGGCAAGAACATATTTTATTCATATTCAAAATAGTAAAGAGTAAATTAGAGCTCTGTTTTGAAGTGATTTTGTTGGTTTTCAGCTCATTGTTTGCACACGTATCTGTCTGTCTCTCTCAAACCAAATGAAATTAATTTATTGGAATCTCTATGCCATCAAATTTTATCCTACACACTTTCCAACTCCTAATAAAAAAGTTAAAACAATTAGAGGATTTGTTGCAGCTTCAAAAGTAACTTCTTTCCTGATAAGTGAATAAATTATCAGTAAAGGTACTCAACAGTTTTTCTCACTCAGCTTGACACGTTTTCCAAAGTTTATAAAACAAAAACTGTGTACCATGTGCTCACCAGCTAACTATTGCATTTTTGTAATCACTTTGTACACAGAGCAACTTTGTTTTGCAGGAAACACCATCCAAACTTTCCTGAGAAAAAGGAGTCTCTTCAAGTAAGTTTAAAGAACAGGTAAGCAAACATTTGGTTAAAAAAGTTCAGTTCAGCTGATGCAATGGTGCTGAAACATCCTTGAAATTAAAGATGCCATACACCTGCTCAGGCTGGACTATTCAAAACCAATGTGCCAGAAGTCTCAAATCTAGGCAAAAATGTCAAATCTGGGGACAGACTTTTGAGAGCGCTTGCGGGCATCATTTTGAACAAAACACTAAAATATACTTTGAACAACATAAAATTGATAAACCTACAGTTGCTTTTGTTTCAGAACTTTTAAACATTTTTTGACACAAACTAGTCACATAGAGTAAAGGGCATTTTTTTTTCTAGAAGGTATTTGGAAGTAATGGGCAGGGGGTGGAAGGGACAAAAACAAAGTTGCTGGAAAAGCTCAGCATCTGTAAAGAAAAAAAAAAGAGTTAACGTTTCAGGTCCAGTGACCCTTCCTCAGAACTGACAGAACTTAGAGGGTGGAAGGGGATGGTTAATGATAAAGCCCTTGATCTTGGTACAGTGAGAAGCATGCCAAATGATTTCTGAACAAGGCATGCATGCAGGCAAGAATTTTCTTATTCTATACATTTTGCTGGTTGGGGTTCCTAGGGAATGTCTTATGATTAGACACAACTTGCTGCCAGTCTGGTTTGATCAGGATTATCACTGCACTTAACCACAGTGCTCCTCCGTCCTTTCATGACTGCAGAGATCAAAAATAAACATTTTTCTTGATTCATTATAGTACTCAAAATCAGTTATGGATCTATGTTACAAACAACAATTTTAGAAGCATCATTATAGCAGTTTAAGCTAAAAGATAAGCCCTGTGATCATTCACAATTCTTCAGATGAATCAGATCAGAATTCAACCATATGGTCAAACGTCCAAAGGTAATTAACTCTTACGAAGTTTTGACATATTTTACCATTATCTACAAATAAGTCAATGCAGATACAGTATTCATAAATAAGTCAAATAATAGGTAAAGTTGCTATAATCCCAGAGAACCATAGGGCTGCTCTCTCATTTGAGAGAGACAACTAGTGCTGGTTAAACCACACCTCAGGTGAGGGGACAGCTCAAGAAGTTGGGACCTTATGATGACCTCAGCTGGTATGTGGCTGTTGACATCAATCACTCTGCATGACAAACCAGCCATCCAACCAACTGAGCTAGCCAATCTCCATGTTTATTAATAACTGATGAAACACTTCATTGCTACACATTCTGTATGACTACATTAACCCTAGAACGCATTGGTTTGAATCTTCCGAGGAACCGGAATGACTGTCACTTTGCACCTACATTTTTTGCACTATAACCAAGCTCTACATTTCTGGCCAGGATTTCTGATCGTGGCTTCTTCAGAAATGCAGAGTACCCCTTACATTCAACTGTTCTCTGTAGAGCGGGTTAGTGAGGAAATGCAAAGCTACTGCAACTTTTTAGGGACAGGTTGCTTATTCGGTTAAGAGTTTGAATATCTAAATCTTGAGTTGACGGTGTTTTTCCAGCTGTGTTTCAGAGCTGGAAACACATTCAAAAATAATGTCTATGTTTGTAGAGTTCCTGCGGATGGCATTTCTTTGTTTCGTGGCAACTCTCCCCAAAATCCCTGATAATGCTCTCCCCTCATCCTCAAACGTGGTCAAAACCCACAGCCTTCCAACTCGTCGTCCTCCTCCATCTGACGCAAACATTTTCCCCCTCTTAACTAGAATGTTCTTCCTTCTCCCTCACCCCCACCAGTCTCTCTCTCTCTCTCTCGCTGACCACATTTACCTCCCTCTCATTCCACAAGAAAGCACCACCATTACACACCCCACCTACCCCCACACCCTCCTGGCAATGCCAGCTCTCTTGATGCCAGCCAGACAAAAGCCAAGGATTCCAAGGGGGTGAAGCGGACTGGAGCAGGGGAAGTGGGTGAGCACCCACGGGTGGAGTGGAGGAAGAGCAAGCAGAATTGATGGTAGGTTGGGGGAAGTCCACAGACGCTAACTGTGGTGCAAAGGAAAGCTGAGAGCTGTCCAGGAGCTGGGGTAGGAAGGGTGTGAACCCAAAAGGCACCAGGGCTGAACACTGTTGTGGTACTTTGGCCCACTAGCTGATTTACCTGGAACAATGCTTTAATCAATCTGTTCAAACACGTCATGACACATCTCTAGATCAAGTTGGACTCGAATGTAGGTCTTCACAAGAAGCCCCATGAGCAGCATTGTGAGCAGTTATGAAAGCCTTAAAGTCAATCTGCCTATAGACGGGTTAAGTATGGCATAAAATAGGCCACATCTGCGTTTCTGACTAAATGACCCCACTGTCATTGGAATCTCAGAGCAGTGTGGGCAGGGTAAAACCAGAGACCAGACATTTAAGCTTCCCCCTTAATAACATGGGTTAGGATTCCATCAGGGTCCCGAGCATCAGCGACACATGTTGAGGTGGAGGCCTGTCGGAAGATTTGGGCCACCTGTTTAATAATCGTTTTTATTATTTTACTGCAAGTCTCATTTCTCCCATTTGGCTCCAACAGAAGCAAATCTCTGCAAAATGAAGCTCATATTCCTTATTCTGAGTGCCTACATTGTGCCTACATTTTGTGGAGTTAAGCCTTTAGAGAAACACTTCTCTGTCACTGCAACAGACAAACCGCCGAGCTCTCAAACCGGTCTGGACAGTGAGGATCCAGACTTGGAAAGTATTCAAATGCAATTCCATAAAGATAACACCTTAACACAAGATCTCCTTCCAGAAGAAGAGGAAGAAGACGACTACGACTACCTGGATTTTGATACTCTATTGGGGAAGGAGGACGATGATTATATTGATGCGATTGATGAGATAGAAGATGTGCCAGAAATAGACACAGATCTTGAACCCTCAGATCCAGCGACCAAACGAGCCAAGCTACTCAAGCTATTCCGTGGCAAAACCAGGATTCAACGCTTGAACACTGTGAATGCAAACTTTGCTTTTGGTCTTTACAGAAGCATCAGGAACGCTGTTGACCAGTCTGATAACATACTGCTAGCTCCTGTTGGCATTTCAATAACCCTGGGCATGGTCTCTTTAGGCGCAAGACATGAAACTCATCAGCAGCTTTTCAACGCACTTGGTTTTGCAGATTTTGTAAACGCAAGTGTAAAATATGACACAATGACCGTTCACAACCTCTTCCACAGGCTAACCCATCGCCTCTTTCGTCATAACTTTGGTTACACTCTCCGGGCTGTTAATAACCTATTCATACGCCAGGATGCAAAGATTCTGAGCAACTTCACACAAAATATGAAAACCTACTACTTCGTCGAGCCTTTGTCAGCCAACTTTTCGGACCCTGCATTGATCAGTAAATTAAATGAACGCATTTTGAAGATCACCAAAGGACTAATTAAGGATGCCCTAAAAACGATAGATCCACAGACTCTGATCATGATTCTGAACTGCTTCTACTTGAAAGGTAAACTTATTTAGTTACATATTCAGCCAACATATTTCCAAACACAGCGCACTGTATCGTAACTTCATTATATTTGGTGGGATAATAAATTTCACCCATCATAATACCATAAATACAAAACATTATTTTATTCACAAAAGGACAATGTACCTAACTTTTTTTAAAATTACAATTCAAGTTGTCAAGCCTAAATCACATATTTAAACGATAAACATATGTGCAGGCAGTCCGTGAATTACAAATATCCAACTTACGAGATTCCATACCAATATTAATTTTAAAGATCCAACATGTGAACGTTTTCTTGTATTTACAGGCATCAATTTAATATTGTATGGTATTATAGATCAACTTGCAAACAAACACCATCAGAACAGAACACATTCGCAACCCAGAGACTGACTATACACCTATGCAACCACAATCCATCCAAATTTTACATTCACTTCAAAAGAATAGTCTTAGAATGCAGCACTGGATGACCTGGGGGTGGGTGCAGCTTTCAAAGAGGTATATAAAACTGATAGGTTGCAGTAAGCAGACTTAATTCTATAAAAAAGGAACATTTTAAACTCTTAAGTTTGCTATCGCATTGATTTTCTTTCAAGTATTTAGTGTTTAATTGACCATAAAAGACTATCCACGTCCCTTAGACACGTTTTTCAAACATTAAATCGTAGAAAAAAAATTAAAAACTTCATTTTAACTTAAAATAATTTGCTGCTCTGTGAAAATATGGAAAGTACAATGAAATTCTAAAATCAGGAATCCTGAGCTCAAATGCAGTAATGTAATGTGACCTCTCCCCACCCAACACAGGAACTTGGGAAACTAAATTTCCGACCGAAAGGACATCCACAGGTTCGTTCTGGTTGAACGAAAGGAAAGTGGTGCGAGTGCCTATGATGCATACAAAGGGAAACTTCTTGGCAGCTGCAGATCGTGAACTAGAGTGTGACATTCTCCAGCTGCCCTACGTGGGAAACATCAGCATGCTGATCGTGGTACCCCGTAAATTCTCTGGCATGAGGACCATCGAAAAGCAGCTGATATCTGAAGTGGTGGTGAAGTGGTTAAACAGCATGACTAACAGGTACATTTTGAACATTCAACCACATATATGGAAGCTAAAATCATTGGACTAGCATTTCAGAGAGCTAGACTAAATGCTTAGGGGATATGGGCTCAAAATCTATCTCGGTAGGCAATGGAATTTAAATTCAATTGAGAAAGATCAGGAAATGAAAGTTAGTTTCATGGTGACCATTACAGAGACTATCACACATCCTTCTGATACATTTGTCCTTTACGGAAGGAAATCTGCCATCCTTACCTGGTCTGGCCTACATGTGTCTCCAGACCCACAGCAATGCGCTTGGCTCTTCATTGCCCTAATCGTTCAGTTCTAGGCTTATCTGGAATGGGCAACAAATGCTGGCCTTGTCAGCAATGCTTACATCCCATGAAAAAAGAAACAATAAGTAATAGTGTGCAGTTTAAAATTCGAAGAGATTTCAGAAAACTGAACAGTTGTTCACTGACACACAAGACTGAGTTCCAAAGAAGAGTCAAACTGAATACGAAACATGAACTCTGTTTCTCTCTCCACAGCTGCTGGCTAGTCTACTGAGTTTTTCTAGTGCTTTCTGCTCTTATTTTCAAATAAGAATCTCAAATCTCCAGCATCTGCAGTATTTTGCTTCTGCCTTGGCATTAAAAGTGCTACAGATTTAAAAATGATCTGCAGCACAAGCTCTTTTACAAAGGTATCTTTTTATTAAGTGATGAAAAGAAGTTCAATGCTTATAGAATTTCGACACGTTTAAAGAAACTATAATGAATTAAAGCCAGTTATGTTACTTTCAGGAATGAATTTGTGTGGCAAGAATAATAAGGTCCTACATGACAAGCTAACTATTCTGTGAGGAATCAAAACTATGGGACATTTGTAGCCCTCATAGCCTAGCAATACTGCTCAAAAAGCCCAAGAGTCCTGCACAGTGTTTTTTCGAGAGTGTGGTGATTTTCATATGGGCACAGGATAAAGTCCCCATAGTCCCAGCAAACCATTGGGCTGCATTCTCAAAAAAGAGGGGTAACCGAGGGTTTAACCATGTCGTAGGCGAGGGAAGAGGTCCAGAAGGTGGGATCTTCAAGATGACCTCAGCTGGCATGGGAATTGAACTCATGCTGTTGACGTCACTCTGGATCACAAATCAGCCATCCAGCCAACTGAGCTAACCTATTTCTCCCCCCCCCCCCCCCCACCTCCGTCCCACCTTTAAATATTGTTGCAAGGCATGCACTTGCATACAAAGCAATTTAAAGCGTCACAATTAACAAGCTTGTCTTGATGTACAGAAGAACATTCAGGTGGTTGTGCCAAGATAGAACATTGATTCTGCAAGAACTGCAGATGCTGGAGTCAGAGATAACACAGTGTGCAGCTGGGGGAACACAGCAGGCCAGGCAGCATCAGAGGAGCAGGAAGGCTGACGTTTCGGGTCAGGACCCTTCTTCAGAAATGTCAGCTTTCCTGTTCCTCTGATGCTGCCTGGCCTGCTGTGTTCCTCCAGCTCCACACTGTGTTATCATTGATTCTGGGATATTTTGTCTGAGTTTTCTACTCATTGGCTTCTACTGTTTGAACAGAAAGGGGTGGGTTTTAAGCAATTTTGGAGATTTTTATCAGGATGGAACCAGTTTGGAAGGATTACAGTGAAATGAAGAGATGAGAGAAATTAGGATTAATTATACCTGATGTAGTACAGGCTAGCACAGTTGTTCAATTAAATGGAGGTTTGATAAGAGTAGATATATAGAAATTTTGTGTTTTTTTTTTGGCAGCAGGGCCAGTGATCACATAGGAGAAAACCAGTTGAGACTATCTGAAATGGACTGTCCGATAATAACTTTTTATAGGAAATTAGACTGCAAAGCAATGGGAAAAAGAAACAGGGACAGACACTAAACATTTGGTTTTGCTGATGGGCAAATGCCTCCTTCTGTGCTGAGATTCTATACGCCTGAGGAACAGAGGCCTCATTCATTGAAGGAATGAAACTTCAAGGTGATGTGACAAGTGAAGAGAACAAGTTCTGTTCAGGCAGTTGTATTGTTTGAAATAAATGAGAATGAAAGGATTAGGAGGCATTAGCTTAAAATATGAGAACAGAATTGAGTTAGATGTCAGAAATTGCTTCTAGGAGAGTCAGTGACCTCTGGAATAGATTACCAAATGTTTGCTACATATGGCAAAAGAATGAACTGGATGAGTTCCAGAGAGTCACAGGTTGCTGAAGTGATAGAAGTTAGGTGATTGGAAGCTGTAATTATGGCCTCCGCTTTTGTAGTTTCCTGGAGTTTACATCCAACTGTCTTCAAGGGTCACAGTTTAAACTGAAGGCATGATAGACCTCATGTGCGCTAAGTAGATGCCTGCGCATATTTCTTTTGCGTAAACTGACATGGCCACTCTGTGCCCAGTAGGGATTCCCACATATGCCACAAAGAAAAGCTTACTGCTCTACCCAAAAACTTTGAGGGCAACTCAGCCATACCAAAAGAGACAAGGCACGGTGGTCATTAAGTGACCTAGCCGGAGTAAGATGTAAAAAGGAAAGGGTAAGAGGTAATTAGGCACACTTTCACAAGACCTTAGCACTTGCTGATAATCCCATTCAGAGGAATTACAGGATGGCTGGTCCAAGAGATGGAAAGGAAATTTTTTTTTTTTTTTTTTTTAAATTCATTCACAGGACGAGGGTATCGCTGGCTAAGCAGCATTTACTGCCCATCCCTAATTGCCCAGAGGGCAGTTATGAGTCAACCATATTGCTGTGGGTCTGGATTCACCTGTAGGCCAGACCAGGATGGCAGTTTCCTTCCTTAAAGGACATTAGTGAACCAGATGGGTTTTTCCTGACAATTGACAATGGATTCACGGTCATCATTAGACTCTTAATTCCAGATATTTTATTGAATTCAAATTCCACCATATGCCATGGTGGGGTTCGAACCCTTACACTTAAATCCATGGTCCCTCTCAACTGAAGGGCCACATCTATGCCCTCTTTACATTGCTCCTGGGCTCAAGAGACAGGCCATTTATTGGGGCAGAGGTAGAGGAGCTTTATCTGCATTTGACTGTGCTGGATATGACCCGACAGTGCTCAATTACGGTGCCTATAGTAAGAATAGCCCAATCTCCAGCCATATTACCTTTCACTACAATGAGCAGAAGAAATAAATAACAAGTAAAGACTGTAATCGCTCGGAATCACTGACACAAATACAAAGAAACAAATATCTGATTTCTGTAAGATGTCTTTTGAAGTAACATTTTAGCAATTAAAGCACTATAAAAATAAGAAGAAACAAAGGAAGAAAGAATTTTGTCCAAAACTAATTCTGAATACAATTTTTGTTTTTTTTTTTTTTAAGAACACGAAGAGTGGTGCTTCCCAGATTCAATCTAGAGAAGCACTATGACCTGGTGCCATACCTGAAGACTTTGGGATTGACATTACCTTTCCAAGCAGATGCAGATTTTACTGGAATATCAACTAAGGAGAATCTGGGCATTAACCTGGTAGGAGTTCCATTGTGCACCCACACACAAACACAAATACACAGCCCAAATATAATGGGCACAGAAATGTAGCAAGCTGTAACAAAAGCAGAAATTGCTGGAGAAACTCAGCAGATCTGGCAGTATCCGTGAAAAGAAAAACAGCTTTAACGTTGAGTCCAATGACTGAAGAAGTTCTTAAGAAGGGTCACTGGACTTGAAACGTTAAGAGTCTTCCCTTCACATATGCTGCTCGACCTGCTGAATTTCTCCAGCAATTTCCGATTCTGTTTGTTTCAGATTTCCAGTATCCACAGTTGCTTACTTTATTATAGTAGCAAGGTGGGGCTGCAAAAGAAATCAGAATATTCAGCTAATTACACTCAACTGAGAAGGAAGTGGTAAGCAAAGATTAATCCGGCTCAATGTGATTTTGTTAAAACCTGTGAAAAATCAACACCACACGTTTTGCAGCAGGAACAAACCACATGGATAAAGGATAACGTTAGTTCTTGAGCTTTTTTTGACCACAGCTTGGGCTCCTAACTGATAGATGACTAAGTTTTAAATTGATGAAGAGATTTACAAATCTAAGGAGGTTCTTGGCTTGGAAGTCACCATCTCCAATCCACTTGGTCCCAAAATCTATAACTGGAAATAATGAAGCACATCTTCACCATCAGTTACTTATTGTCACAGGCAATACTAAAATGGGCAAAATTACACCTAGTTTCATATTCAAATGGTAAAACTGGCATCTAAAACCATCTTTTCAAAGCCCTGCTCATATCTCCTTTGCATTAGTGAAACTCCCTACCCTAAATCTCTCTCCTTCTTCAAGATGCACCTTCAACACTTACCTGTCCTATTAGCTTCTGGTGCAGTTCAATGTTACATTTTGTTTGGTAACATGTGAAACATTATGGAAAGTAATACATTAATAACATAACATTATATCGAACATATAACAGAGGAACAAGTCATTTGGCCCAACTAGTTTATCTTCAGTCTCGCCACATTCCATCTAACTGCTCAGTCTTTCCAGATATTGATTCTAATTTTTCTCATTTGTGCATCCAGTTTCCTTTTGAAAACATCTAAGTTATTTGCTTCAACCATCAAATAGATCCGAACAGTGCGGAGTTCTGATGACTACAAAGATTGTTTTGCTTGTTGACTTCAGATCTTTTTCCCTTCAAAATGGCAACACCCTAATTCAGTCCCTTGATATCATTTGCAAAATTGCCATTTAATGAAATCAAACTAAGACAAACCAGTAAAGAATAGAGAGGAGACTAAAATGACCTCTTTGCTTATGTTTCAATTCTTTCAGTTCAAACACCAAGGATCAATAACAGTGAATGAAGAAGGGACAACGGCAGCATCCATCACAACGGTTGGCTTTATGCCCCTTTCCTTGCAGAATGAATTTTCTGTCAACAAACCCTTCTTATTTCTCATATACGAGCACCGCACTGAATGTCTGCTGTACATGGGGCGAGTGACAAACCCACTGAATGACTAGTCACCAACTGGAAAAAAAGGTTATATAACTTCCAATAAATAGCCTAAGCTTTTCAGAAATAAAATAAAGTTTTGCATCACCAAGTATGAGAATGTAACAACTGTTAAGTAAATGAGCATTACTTTGTGGAAGAATATGTCAAAACAAATTTTTAAAGGAGAACCAACTCTGTCCGTCAATTTTTCTCTCACAAGATTGTACTTTCACCTATTATTAATGGTGGTTTGAATTTAACAGCTTGTGTTGCTATTGTATCTCTCTAATATTTTACAGTTGAACCCCAATACAACGGTCTTAGTATTATGACCTGAGGGAACATTGGATTGTTGGAGTTGTCAAACAGGACAACTATTCTGGCGGTTTTGGGTGGATGCAGAAAATCCCATGGCACAACTTTAAAAGTGGATACTCTAGATATCCTTCCTAACATTCAACTCCCAATCAACACAATCACAAACAGGTGAACATGTTAACCTAGGATTGCTGTTCATAAACCAGTTGCCACATTGGATTCAGGCTGTTTTTATGGAGGCCAAAGACTTCTGTTCCTAATAAGTTTATAAAATCAGAAGCTTTATTAGAAACAGTTTGCTCAGCATCTTACACTTGATTTCATCACGTCAATGACCTGCAAAGTTGCAACAAGGAAATGGTATCTCATGATCATTACTTGTGTTGGAAGATTAAACATTTACTTCCCACATAAAATCTATATCCACCTCTCCAAATACCTAAGCAATCCATGCAGTTTTTTGAATATTACAGAATTGTACTGTAACTTCCAGTAAACAAACATGCTATTTTTAAAATTAGAAGTTGGATCATTATCCAAAAAGGAAAAACTTGCTGGGCTACAGAGAAAATGCAGGACCATAGAACCAGGTGAATCAATTCTACAGAGGGCCAGCACATGGGTAATGGGTTGAACGGCCTCTTTCTGTGCTGTAATTTTGTTTTACATCTTGTTCAGAATTATAGCATGTTCTACAGCTGCAATCAGCATCCATTGTTCTTAGCGCTCATCATCACACAAAAGCAAACCATGCTGACAGATAGATCCATGTTGTCCTGTGCCGTGTTCGCAGCTGCTTATAAGGATTTATTGATCAGGTCACGTTGCATACATCAGTAGTGAAGCTGAGAGAGAGTTCCTGTAAGCCATCTCAAAATCCAAACTTTGAAGATCATTTCTTATCTCAACTGCATTTCTGTTATCTCAATAATTATGATAATACTCTTCTATGCAAAAAGGTGTTGGTTGTTTTTATTCCACTGATTCAAATTTAAAACCGGAAGAAATATTTATTCTAGAGTTAGTTATTTGATTACTTAAACCTTTCCCAATTTATATGATAATTAAAAATGGACATATATTTGTACGAATATATACGGTTAAAGAGAGTCACAGACTTATACAGACTCTTCCATCCAACTCATCCATATTGACCAGGTATCCTAAATTCAACTAGTCCCATTTGTGAGGATTTGGCCCATATCCCTCTAAATCCTTTCTATTCATATACCCATCCAGATGCCTTTTAAAATGTTTCAATTGTACCAGCCTCCACCATTTTCTCTGGCAGCTCATTCCATAAACGCACCACCCTCTGTGAAAAAGTTGTCCCTTAGGTCCCTTTTAAATCTTTCCCCTCTCACCTTAAACCTATGCCCTCTAGTTTAGACTTCCCTTGCCGGAGAGAAAGACCTTGGCTATTCACCCTATCCATGCCCCTCATGATTTTGTAAACCTCTACAAGGTCATCCCTCAACCTCCGACGCTCCAGGGAAAATAGCCCCAGCCTGTTCAGCCTCTCCCTCTAGTTCAAACCTTCCAATCCCAGCAATATCTTTGTAAATCTTTTCTGCACCCTTTCAAGTTTAACACCATCTTTCCTAAAGCAGGGAACCTGAACTGAATACAGTATTCCAAAAGTGGCTTAACCATTGCTCTGTACAGCCACAATACAACCTCCCAATTCCTATATTCAATGCACTGACCAACAGCCCCCATTCATTACGCAGTTCTATCAGGTACATATGTCCTACAATACAAAACCTGCACTGTCTTGGATAAAGACTTATGAAAATAAAAGGTACTTACCACTGCTATGACTGGTATAAGAACTCCCAAGTTACCCGCACTACTTGAAGCCTGAAACAAGGAAATGCCCATATTATTCAAGAATACTTTCATTATCGTATATTGTCACTAATAGCTTCAATGTTTCACTTTACCTTCAATGTTAAATGAGTTAATAGCTGCATATCACAATAATCATGCTGTCTAGGATTTGTTGAAGCTCCACTGAAGTCTCAGAGGAAAAGCTAGAATCTCCAAAAAAAATTAAGCTCTGCATTTATAAACCTTACCACACTTACAAAAATTCCCTTTTTTTGTGTATAATCAGTGTGTTTTATGAAAAGGAACTTACGAATGCTTCTTCCAGCCCAGTTCAAATAGAACATAAAAAGGTTCTACTACTGAGCAGTCAACTTGGCTCAGCTACTAGCCACTGACTCAAAATGTCATGAATTTAGGTCCCATGCCATAGACTTGACCATATAATTCAGGATGACAATTCAGTGCAGTACAGATAGAGGTGCTCGCTTCCATTCTTGCTCTCTTGGGTGAAATTATTTAAATACCTGCAAAGGAGTTCCTCCAACATTCTGGTCAATATTTATCACTCAACCGACATCACATAAAAGCAGATTCTGGTCATGTACCAAAACCACTCTGCATAGGATTCAGCTGTGCACAAATTGCCTGCCACATATATCCATATATTGAGAGAGTAACTGATATTTCAAGAAGTACTTCATTGGTTGTGAGCGCTGTGGGATATCCAAAGTTTGTTAAAGGCACTGTAAAATGCAATATCTTACTTTCCTTTCCACAAGGCCTGCATGAAAGAGCTTTCAACATGCAAGTAATTCCCAGGATCCCCAAGAGAAAAATTTCTGAAGAAGGGTCGAGACACGAAACATCAGCTTTCCTGCTCCTCTGATGCTGCTTGGTCTGCTGTGTTCATCCAGCTCTACACCTTGTTATCCCCAAGAGAAAGCCTTTATTTACAAAGTGCCTTGCAATTTCTCTCTGAGTTTTAAAATTTTCTTTCATACGATGTGAACGTCACTAACAATTGCCAACATTTATTGCTTGTTCCAAATGGCTTGAGGTGGTGGTAATAAGCAGTCTTTGTTAACTGCAATAGCCCATGGTAAAGGTACTGTGTTGTTAGGGAGTCCAAGATTTTGACCCAGCAAAAATGAGGGAGTAGTAATATATTCCAAGGCATGGTGAGAGACTTGGAAGGGAATTTGCAAGTTGTAATATTCCCACACATCTGCTGTACTCGCCCTTCTAGGTGGTAGAGGCCACATGTTTGGAAGGTGCTGTTGAAGAAGTATTACTGAATTACTGCAATACACCTTGTAGATGCTGCCACTGTATGTCAGCTATGGAGGGAGTGAATGTTTAAGAACATCCTGTAATAATTCATAATGGATGGATTTGAAAAGCAGTCAATCCTAATATATATCTGTGATTTCCAAAAATAGATAAGTATGATATTTCAGAGAAATGTCTGGATTAATTTAGATCAAAATGTCTGGATTAGTTTAGATCATAAAGTCACTGAAAATCCATACAAATTATATCAGAAGATTTTTAGAAAGAATTATTTGCACATGCTCAGGAAGGACATGGTCTTGCAAGTCAGATGTCTCAAGAAGTTAAGTGAATCATATATCACTGTAGCTCTCAGATTGGAAGGGCAGTTTGGACAGTGAATGTTGAAACCCTATTTAAGGGCCAACTACCAGCCAAAGGGTAGCACTTCAGGTTCATAATCTGCCAATTTATAGGCATTTAGCACAGAAAAAGGCAAGTAATATTTTCTAGGTTTCATATACAAGACAGTTTTAGCCGGGATAAAAGAAGTGAAAGAAAACAATTCAAAGTCAACTGATTCCATATTTGGGTTAAATTAAAAATGCACAGATAAATACCCTGTTCTGTTATTGTCAGCTCTTGAAATTAAATGCAACACTTCAACAGGGTGAGAAAACATTTTCAACCAGCAAACCATCAATCTATGTTATGACAATGGAACAGAACCATGAAGCATTTTTGGACACTTTTTTCACTTTTAATTCCAAGGTGCGTTATTTTTAAAAAAGCTGCAACAGAAAAATTATGGATCAAAATTCAGAGACTGTCTGCCAAAGTCCAGTGTGAGGCCAATGGAATGTGGTACATGATCAGGGAAACTTTGAACAGAGAGAGATGTGAGAAGAGGTAACAAGGGGACTGATTCTCTTTCCTCTCAGTAGCAAGCTACCTCTTGCAGAAATGACCTAGTGGTATTATTGCTAAACCAGGAATCCAGAAACTCAGCTAATGGGGACTGGGTTCGAAACCCATCAGGGCAGATGGTGGAATTCGAATTCAATTTTAAAAAATCTTAAATTAAGAATCCACTGGATTGTTGGGAAAACCCATCTGGTTCACAAATGTCCTTCGAGGAAGGAAATCTACTGTCCTCACCTGGTCTGGCCTACATGTGCCTCCAGACCCACAGCAATGTGGTTGACTGACAACTGCCCTGAGATGCCGTGCAAGCCACTCAGTTGGCGATCAGCTAGGAAGGGGCAATAAATGCTGGCCTGCCAGCAATGTCCACGACCCACAAGTGCATACAAACAAAAATGTTCATTTTACTCATTTGGCTTAGTCAAAGGCAAGGGTTAAACAGACAGTTTCAGCTGTACTGAAGTGGACTAGTGGGACTAAATGCTCATGTGCACCATTAGCATGCTGTGAAGGTCATACTTGAAAAACTAATATCTCTTGTGCTGTAGGTAATGAGTGTCCACCTTGAGTGCTTGAGTAACTAGTTAAAAAGGAAACAAGACAACACATGGCTCACTCACATACAGGAAGGCAGAATTCAATCACAATCATTAGATGCTATAAATACAGAATTTGCAAAAATAAGAATTGCAAAGTTAACTTTTCACCTATTAATGCAAAACTACCGGTAACGCACACTGCTTGCCACAGTATACAACTATCAACTCTTTGCAAACAATTCAAAGACTGATCTTTACATTTTTTCAAACTTTGATTTTCTTGGACTCACTTCTTATTTCTAATCACTGTGTTTGTGCAATGTGTTACTAATTCTTCTTGCATTTAATGCTTAATAAATTTACTTTATATTCATTCAAGAAAACCTGGCTAAATTGGCTCCTTTCAAAATAAAAGTTCACAAGGGAAGGGATCCTTTATAAATTAACCTTGCTACAACCAACCAAAAGTGAGGTTGAAAAAAAGATGGAGAGCCTGTTCATCCCTCCTCACACTGGAGGGAACAGTTGGGGTACCCTGTCTGGAACAGTAAGGAATTGGGGAACCTCATGTGGAGTCTGTTTTTCTGCTCCTAAAGAAGCTGACAGCCCTACTGTGAATTCTCAGCATTTGTCTTAATTCATATTTTGGACATCATAAGTTTTCTTCTATCTCAGGTTTCAAATGTTTTCATTGGAAAACACAACAAAAAAAATTACAATGAAATTGAGGGAAAATGGTTGCAAACTTTTAAAGTATGGATGGACTTAGTGCTTTGATGTTAATTATTAACCTGTAAGCTTAAACTTTGAACAAATTCAGCTATTTCATTCACTGTTTAAAGACAGTGGTTCTGTTAATATTTATTTTTATTGTGACGTAAGCAACATAGTTTGCCATCAAGTTAATACAACAAACTTGGGCTGTATCACATTCCAGCAGTGAGTAGATGCAGGGGAAACCATGACTACCACTGTTCTGCAGAGAAAGGATTACAGTGTTAAGTTCATTTCCCTTTGCAATCTCAAGCTTTGCAAGTACTTCTGCGCTGGAACTTCCTCCTGGATTTTCAAATCATGTATCACCTTAGATCACTGAAAGCTTTGAGTCAAATGAATGAGAGATCAAACCTACCTATTGGTTTGAGCACCTAATACAGGCTGACGTTTTAGTGCAACACTGAAGGAGTGTTCAATTTTCCAACATATCACCTTTCAGATGAGATGTTAAACAAGGAAATTTATGCATTTGCAGAGCAATTAGTCGTCACCAAAGCATTAGAGCTCTGAAAGCTGTGACAAAGATAAACATATTTGACTGTTGAGAGAAGTACCAGCATTTTAGGAACAAACCAGTGACAAAATACATTGTGTCATGGATGACACGACTAATTATTGCATCGGTTGTCATAGTAATTCAGCACAGAATACAGAATATTGGGTCAGCTCAAGCAATTTATAACAAACAGAAGAGTTTTATTATCATTTAAATCACAGTGTTCTGTTTTATTCAATGAAGTTCAAAATGAGAGCTGTAAAACTCAGAAGTTTCACCTGGTGGTGGCAGAAACTTAAATTTCCAAGTTTTGTTTTTCCAAGGCTACTATGGAAAGCAAGGCAGGAGATTGCCAGGGCCTTGGCAGAGATATTTAATATCTCACTGGCCACAGGTGAACAGGCAGATGACTGGAGGATAGCTAATGTGGTTCATTTGTTCAAGAACAGCACCAGGTAATTACAGACCTGTTAATTTGATGTCAGTGGCAGGAAAATAATGGGAAAAAATTCTGAAGGACATGATTAATCAATACTCGGAAAAGCCAGGAATAATCAGCACGGATTTGTTAGAGGGAGATCCTGTCTGATGAATTTAATTGAGTTTTTTTGAAAAGGTGACTACATATATTGGCGAGGGTAGTGCAGTCGATGTGGTTTACTTCAGTAAAGCCTTTGACAAAAGGTCCCATATGGAAGGTTGGTCTCAAATGTAAGGGCCCATGGGACCCACAAGTTGAATCTGAAACTGGCTTACAAATAGGAGGCAAAGAGTAATACTGGAAGGTTGTTTTTGTGATTGAAGGTCTGTGACCAGTGGGACACTTGCTATTTATTATTTACAAAAACGACTTGGATGTGAATGCTGAAGATTTAATTCTGAAGTTTGCATATGACACAAAAAGATGATCTGATATTGATCAGCTGGTAAATTGGGCAAAGCAATAGCAGATGGAATTTCATCCCAGTAAGTGAGAGGTAATGTATTTTAGGCAGTCTAATAAGGGAACAAGTGAACGGTAGGTCCCTAGGGAGTACTGAGGAACAAAGGGACCTTGGTGTACACATCCATCAATCCCTGAAGGTGTCAGCACAGGTAGCCAGGATAGTGAACATAGAACATAGAACATTACAGCGCAGTACAGGCCCTTCGGCCCTCGATGTTGCGCTGACCTGTGAAACCAATCTGAAGCCCATCTAACCTAAACTATTCCATTATCATCCATATGTTTATCCAATGACCATTTAAATGCCCTTAAAGTTGGCGAGTCTACTATTTTTGCAGGCAGGGCATTCCACGCCCTTACTACTCTCTGAGTAAAGAACCTACCTCTGACATCTGTCCTATATCTATCACCCCTCAATTTAAAGCTATGTCCCCTCGTGCTAGCCATCACCATCCGAGGAAAAAGACTCCCACTGTCCACCCTATCTAATCCTCTGATCATCTTGTATGTCTCTATCAAGTCACCTCTTAACCTTCTTCTCTCTAACGAAAACAGCCTCAAGACCCTCAGCCTTTCCTCATAAGACCTTCCCTCCATACCAGGCAACATCCTGGTAAATCTCCTCTGCACCCTTTCCAATGCTTCCACATCCTTCCTATAATGCGGTGACCAGAACTGTACGCAATACTCCAAGTGCGGTCGCACCAGAGTTTTGTACAGCTGCAACATGACCTCGTGGCTCCGAAACTCAATCCCTCTACCAATAAAACCTAACATACTGTACACCTTCTTAACAACGCTATCAACCTGGGTGGCAACTTTCAGTGATCTATGCACATGGAAGATGAAGTGAAGATGATTTATGGAATACTTGCCTTCATTAGTTTGGGGATAGAATATAAAGGAAATCTTGTTACAGCGTTATAAAACATTGGTTAGGCTACAGACCATCTGTTAGGCCACACATGGAATACGGTGTGCTGCTCTGGTTGCCACACTAGTGGAAGAATGTGATTGCGCTGAAGAAAGCACAGAGGAGATTCACCAGGACGTTGCCTGGGATGAAAAGTGTCAGGTATCAGGAGAGATCAAATAGTTTGGGTTTGTTTTTTTCTGGAACAGAGGAGGCTAAGAAAGAGTTAGTGTTTTAAGTCTGATAAGATTCTTCTTTAGAACTGAAAGGCTTTGAGAAGTCCGGAGGTGAGTTACTCAATGCAGAATTCCTATTCTCTGACTAACTCTTGTAGCCAGAGCATTTACGGTGTTAGTCCAGTTCACTTTCTGGTGTAACCATTCTACAATTTCTTCCAAAAAGCACCACTTGACACTTCTCGTTGTTTAATAGGAGGCTGAGGGGTGACCCTAAAAAGGTTTATAAAATCTTGAGGATCATAGATGAAGTGAATAGCCAAGGGCTCTTCTCCAGGATAGGGGAGTCCAAAACTCGAGGGCATAGGTTCAAAGGTGAGAGGGGAAAGATTTAAAAGGGACCTGAGAGGCAAATGTTTCACACAGAGGGTGGTGCACATATGGAAAGAGCTGTCAGGAGAAGAAGTGGTAGAGGCTAGTACAATTATAACATTTAAAAGACATTTGGACAGGTACATGGGTAGGAAAGGTTTAAAGGTTTATAGGTCAAACACAGGCAAATGGGACTAGTTCAAATTATGGAAACCTGGTCAGCATGAACGAGTTGGGCCTAAGGGTCGGTTTCCATGCCGTATGACTATGACTCTAATTAACTTGAAGGGTTTTCAGTTTCAACGGCTACGTTGTTCTAGCCCTAATTTTCACAATTTTTAAACTGCAACATTCAGAAATTCTGTTTAGCCAAAATGTAGAAGTATATATTTCCTTAAGATGACATCTCAAGAGATTTTTATTGCTTAGGTATTTAAACACCCACACACTGATGAGCATTGTTACATCACCTTACAGATAAAGTGAATATTTGACGTTCTAGATGTTCATGAGGCAGCACAGCCTTAAAAGATGGAATGTGGATATTTGTCATGACGAGCCCGAATGGAGCCACTGAGAATGGTGCATTCTGCTGCCTACCTTTAAAGCAGGTCCTTTCTCACTTGCTCTTTCACTTGCTCGTTTCCCTTCTAAACCAAGCTGTACAAAAAGCTCCAGCAAATTCACAAGAAGTTCATCAACCAGTTGCTCCCCCTGCAGGTTAGCTGCTATGTTAGCGAGGGCATTGATAACTGCCAGGGAACAGTGCCTGAAATGAAGAGAATCAGGATGGTTTACATGAAAGTGTTACAGTAATTAGCCCAATAAAAGCTGTGCTTTTTTTAAAAAATACTTTTCTTCTCATAACAAGCTATACACTGAAATGTGGAGAGATGGAGACCACTCAATACAGTGGGCCAAATAACCCTCCTCCATTTCAAGAGACTGGTGCAACGTGCACTAACTTTCCCAACTTAGAAATCTCGTCAGAAAAAAAATCAGTTGCCAGAAATTTTTTCAGTAGACCAAGCAATCCCTCATCGCCATCATTTTAGTACAGCATTGTGTGTTTGGAAACATGGATGATATGGTATTTGTGTTAGTAAATCAATGCTAGTTAAGACTTACTAATCTTATATAGCGGTTTTATGTTCCAATTCACAGATTTGTGGTTTCGGTGATCCAAAGTAATTTATAATCCAAAAAGTTTTGAAATTCGGAAATGACCCGGCCTCCAAATTTCCAAACTGCAGAGGTTCTAGTGTAGCAACGTTACATTAGAACTCAGTCTGTGGTGCAGCATATATTTCAAGTTGCTGATACTGTGTGTTGCTCTTATTTGGAATTTCTCCAGCAATGAGGCAACAACCCCAAGAACATCCTTCCTCCAAGCCCCCAACATTCAAACAGATCAAAGCAGCACTAAGAAATAATAAGTCCATATCGGACAAGCTGCCAGGGCCTCAAGAGTATGATTTACAAAGGTAATGGTCCGAAGGCTTAGTCACTGTTAAATAAGAACCCTCAAGGTTACTTTGACTTCTACCATGAAGAAAGAACAGAAACACTGTGGTAGCTCAATGCTTCCCCAAGTCACAGGCTGTTCTGACTTGTACATAACATTATTTCATCACCATAGCCGCATTAATATTTTGGAATTCCCTGCCAAGAGATAATTATCCTCACATTATCACTACAAAGGTCACAGAAGTTCAAGGAGAAGGTGCACTGCCAACTTCTCAGAGCAACAATGAATGAGTGATAACTGTGGCCTTGGCTGGGTCACTTACATCTCGAGATGAGCTGTTTTGAAATAGCTGCTCGGTTGTACGTAACTTTTTTTGCTGACAAAAGAAGAGACGCTTTCCAAGATTTTAGCCTTGCATTCATGAGAAAAGGGTGCTGAATGTTTGGCAAGTCAATGCTATTGGTCAAGGATTGCAATACTTGAAATAGTGAAATACTGGACACAACATTTGAAAAAAAAAGTGTGATGCCTGGACAGTTTTTTCCTGTTTGTAGAAAACGGGATCCATAAATGAAGTGTCCAATAAGCAAAAGGAGCTACATGATGAACCCAGCTGATAGTTTAATCATTAGTGTAAATCCCAGCCCATTCTGGATTGTTCAGCAAATGCTATCCAATCACAGAACACCGCCAAACATCAGGTAATCATGGTCCGAGTTTTGAAAGTATAAGCTTATGCCCTGAATTATGATGATGTGAAATACCCTATCTCTAGGGGTAACTGATGAAGATTCAATGGGAATCTGCAAAAGGAAATTGGATAAATATTTGAAGGGGGAGAATGGAAGGTCGAGAGAGCAGGAAAGTGGGACTGGTTAGAGAGCTCTTTCAAAGAGCCAGCACAGGCACAATGGACGAAAAGGCCACCAGCATGCCCTATGAGCAAGCAACAAAGACAGTTTTGAAAATTTTCATTTGTGAGTTCTGGTCTCCCTCGCACAATCAGAAAGCGATGCTAAGCAGAAGAGAGTACTTCCCAGTGGCTTGCCAAGCGAAGCAGCGGTTACCTCTGGGGCTTGTCTCAAAGCTGTTTTAGAGAAATATGTTGATGCAGGTCATCAGCCCACCATCATTTGCCATGAAATGGGGAATGACACAGGATTTTCAAGAAAGAAGAGATTACTGGCCAGCAAACAGACTGCTTTGCTCCTTGGGTTACCCCCCAAATTGTAACCCAAGTAACTAGGAATTGAAGGTTCTCAGATTTAACAGTTATGAATTCTTTCACTCTATAGGTCAAGAGGAATGAAGTGGGCAAAAGTATGTATATTGTATAGAACAATACTTCAAACCCTACCTATAGCCATGATCTTTGTGGTCTTTAGTTGCTGAGTAAACAACTGAACTGGCTTTCACACTGATTTGTTGAAAGAGGTTCCAGACTTCCTGATAAATATATTGCTGCGAAAAAAAAACAAGAGTTGGTCAGCACATTTTAATGGTCTTAGGTAATCAACTTGAGCTGTAGTACTTTGACAGTACCTTCCAAACTCTGACCTTTGCCACCTAGGACAAGCACAGCAGATACATGCAAACACCAACAAACTACAAACTACTCTTCCGGCCACACATCATTCTACCTTGAAATTATATCACCATTCCTTCAACATCACTGGGTCAAATAATTGCTGGTCCATCCAGGGACATCTTTTGTTTTCAACAATAATCTTTGACGTAGTACCTTATTATATGCCACTGGAAATCTAAATACAGTACACTGACCTATTCTGTTTGATCCAAAACACATGGTACTTCCTCAAAGAACTCCAATAAATTAGTTAACTATGATTTTCCTTTCACAAAACCTGTTTGTTTGTTCATTAACCTCTTAACTCTTTAACCTTGATTCTCTCTGCACAGCTAGTGCCTGGTGCATTGAATATTCCCAGCATTTTCAGTTTTTATTTCAGGTTTCCAACACCTGCAGTCTTTCACTTCTAAATAAATCAATACACTTTCCTCCTTCCAAATAATGGGTTGATTGGATCACCAGAAGATCTCTATTCTGAGGATGAAAGCAACAGATGGCTTGATGCAATCTTCCAGTTAGATTTTGGCTCTTTCCAAACATAAGCTACCATAATTATCAAGTAAGGACAGTTTTGTGCAGCAGTCTCTGGTCTAAAAGGGGAGACTACCAGAATTACTCATGCCAAATAGTGTGGAACGAACAGAAAGCCATCTTCTTTCAGGCCAGAATTTGACAGCAGGATTTTAATTTTCAACCACACCACCTTGACATTACATTGCATTATATTAGAGTGGATTATCCTCTGATAGAAGAACACACATGCTTTCATTTCCAAGGATCTATTCCACCACGTTACCGTCAAAGTTCTGAAGTTGAAATTTGATGCCCACAGCACAGAATGTCAAGAGATTTAAATTAGTGCCCTAACTAATTTTGAAAGTTGTTCCCCAAACTACCTCTAATTATTTGACCTGGAGTAGTAAGTAACCGCACTACAGTGCAAATATTTGTCATAAATCATTCCATCTCACTTACATTCCCTGTGATGACCATGCAGCCCAATTGATCGATAATAAGAACATCCAGCTGAGATGGAGGCTGGCAGAATTTCTGCTGCAGGATTTGCAGAATTGGTTCCATCACCTTTGGCGTGTCTCTCATTGCCACAGCAATGTGACCGAGGGCACGGATTGTGTGGTCAGGAATCAAATGGGCATCCCTGGAAGAAGGAAACAAAATCAATCCAACAACAGTAAACTGAGCATGACCATCCTGAGACAGAGATGCCTCAAATTCAAATCTCTCCAGCCGGGGGAAAACAAGCTCTGTATTCTCAATTTTATAAGTTTCAATGACATCATCTCTCATTTGTATAAATACCAGAGAATATAGATCCATTCTACTCAGTCTGCTCTTACAGCTCAGACATCTCATCCCAGGCATACATTTGTAATTTTGGACCGCCTTTGGAGGCTAGTAAATCCTTCCTAAGGCAGAGAAATCAAAGCGGTCTCATCAAAGCCCTGCACAATTGCATTAAGCCTTCCATACTCTTACACTTTTGCATGATTCTCACATTTCTTTATTGTCTTCTTATGCAAATAGAAGTTTGGAAAATTAATTACTGCTGTAATAGTTTTTAAATGAAATCTGATGCTATACAGTAACTACTAGAAAAATTCCATTTTTAAGGAACTCCAATATTCAACAATCGTTTAAACATATTTTAAGAGTAGCAAGACTGATCTTCTCAAAAGCCAAGAATTATGAAATGCAGAACAGAAAACACATTTCAACAACATTTTACGAGGTTTTTACAAAAAAAAACTGAACTACATTTTTTCACGAACAATTTTAATAAAAATTTTTAAAATACTAAGCTATTTCATCGGCATCAAAATGGCTTCAATCGAGGTCAGGAGCTGCTATCAAGTTCTTGATGAATTGCATGCGACTCTGGAGCTGCAGGTTTTAGACCCCTGGACTCAGCATTTGGATTACTAGTCATGTAACACCACACCTTACTGTTACTCTGTTCTTATCCCTCATGTTCTAATGACTCAGTTAATGCTCCCTCTCAGCTGTGTGTGCTCTCACACTGCAGCAACATCAAAGTTACCACGCAGGACACTCACCTGTTTCTCCCTTTAAGATAGCTTACACTTATGACTGCATAAAAATAGGGGTGACATTGGACTCAACCTACTCATTTCAAATAAAGTGCTCAAAATAACTCGTATTATTGAGTGGATGAAAGACACGTCATATTCAATTTAATACTTATTTGCAGTAAAGAAAGGTCAACTCAAACAGGCATTTGTAATTAATTCCGTAAAAAGCAACAGGAAATGCCTCGAATATCAACAGAGACCAAAGATTCTACCGAGGGAATTTTTTTTCTGCACGGTTCTCTTTAATTATACTTAAACGTTCACACTAGTTCCAGAAACAGCAGAGGGTCTCAAGATAAAAACCCATTTTGAAAAGAGCCATACAATTCATTGAAGTTCATTCTGGTAAAACAGATTATCTAAGGAACCTGATAAGGACACAAAATGAAATCTGATTGTTGGATCATAGACTGAAAATCTACAAAGAAGGTAACCAAAAGTTACTTGCCAGAAAAGTCCACTAGAGTTCAAGAGGCAGCATGTGGAATAAATGCTTCAACAATCCAAAACTTAATTTTGGTGTTGCAAAGCATACTTACAGAATGCAGCGGTCACTGGACATTAAGTAGGAATACTATAACCACATAACAGTCATGTTTCAAAACCTCTCGTGGTCAATTAGAAAGGATAACAAATGCAAGCCTGTCAGCGTTGTCTACACTTTCGACAACTGGACAAGAATTATTCACTGTTCTAATGATTTGGCTTGATAACTTGAACCAGAAAGAGTCAGGACTTCAGGTAAGATCAAATTTGTCAACTGCTAGACTGTTAGATTGGCATCATGGAGAAATTGAGTTCTGAAGGAGTCATATCTTTTAACTGCTCATTTACCACTTGGAGTTGGAACTTTCTCATAGAATACATTTCAATGTTTACGTGCAGTCAACGACAACTTCAAGTCAAGCGTGCAATTTGGTTTCGCTCTTTAATCTACAGTGGTTACAATTACAGATTAATGTAGATAGTGGAGACAAAGCTTATGGGGAACAGGCAGGAAAGTGAAACTGAGTTGAAGATCAGATTAGCCATTATCAATTTAAATGGCAGAGTTGACTCAAAAGGGCCAGTTTGGCTCCTCCTTTTCCTTTTGCTTATGTGCTCAATTATCTGGCAATAGGAATTAATGCACTAGTCAGCGGAGGTTCTCTCCATTATAACATGATGATCACAGTTGCACTATGGATCCATGCATACAAGTGAGAAAGAAATAAATTTAAAGTTGTGAAGTTGATGCGAAAATTCCTTCAATCACAGCCAAGATTAAATCTTTCCTAATAAGGTGCTGAATTTTAAACATCAATACCAAAACATTCCCTGACACAACATTCTTAGTCTAATACTGCAAATTCAGGTTGGCACAATTTGTTTTTTTCACATCACAAAGATACTTATCATAGAAAGAATCAGTGAAGTTTCATAACAAGTGCTGAAAAATCATGAATAATTACCCAAATTAAGGAAAAATATTCATAAAGATTTGCTTCACTAGAAATAACTGTTCACTAAGCATATTGTAGATGGTATTCATAAATGGACTTTGCAATCTGCATCCGTTATGCAGCTTTTGACGTAGATGCACATGAACAAAAAGGCATGTCTGATCGGCTAGCCCATAAGTGGAAAAACAGAAGAATTGTTACTTACTTATCATTCTCTTGGGATATATACAGACGATTGGATAGACTAGCTAAGAATGCTTCCACAATCTCTGGGTCTGCAACTGATCCTGCCTTAAGGCACCTAAACAAACAAGAAAAAAAAAATGCAAATCCAGCAACTTTTTAAAAATCTGGGCCCCAAAATTCACCCTACCATCCAGTTAATCCCTAAGGTCCAAAGGTCTGCAAATCTATCCAAATAATCAGCCAATTGTGATTATTCATCGCTGGGGTTTGAACTCTTAGAAATGTCACTGCGGAAGGTGTTATTTTAAGATAAGACACCTGTCTGCCTTCACATCACATTGTTTATTTTAAAGAAGAGCGGGGACCTCCACTTTTGTTACGGCCAAGAATTTATCTAGTAACCAACAAGGCAAAAACTGGTTGTTATTAAACCTTTTCAAAACTTCAATGTGTTTTTCTGGTTGTGAAACATTTAGGGTCTGTTTTGAGATTGTGTAGTATGATTATGTAAATGCATTTACAAATACATAAATCACCTTGCAACTTTATTTATTTCCTATCAAAGGAGGTGGTGGAAGTTGGGTAGGAGAAAGTGGTCAACAGTGAAAGATTAGAGAGCACTAAGAGGGACAACATGCCATAGTGACAATCTTACGCTGCCACCAGCAACTTTGACTGGGTTGGCCCTACTCCTATTGAGCACATTGGAGCCAGACTGCTAAGGGAATCAAGGCTTTTGAGAGTTAAACTCCTTGGTTAAGATGCATTTAAAACATAATGAAAGGGAGGTTGGACATACATCAGTAATTGGAGAGGGGAAATCAAGGAGCAGGATGTAATTCTGAGGTTCTGAAATAGGAAAGGGCACATTTTATTTAATTTATTCTTCAAGTGGCAGTTTGGTTGAACCAGCAGCATTTTTACATGTGAGTTTGAAATTTGTGGGTTCAAATGCTCACAGCACCAGGAACCTGGGTTTGATTCCACCCTCGGGCGTCGGTGTCTGTGTGGAGTTTGCACGTTCTCCCTGTGTCTGCGTGGGGTTCCTCTGGTTTCCTCCCACAGTCCAAAAGATGTGCAGGGTAGGTGGATTGGCCATGCTAAATTGCCCATACTGTTCTGGGATGTGTAGGTTGGGTGGGATGCTCTGAGGGTCAGTGTGGACTTGTTGGACCGAAGGGCCTGTTTCCACATTGTAGGGATTCTATGATCTATGATCGATAAATCCTCTCCAAGACTCCAACAGATAATGGAGGTGACCATTTCAATATCATATTAGGAGTTCTACACCAGTAGAGGCCTCTTCTTTAGAATACGCATCAAACTGCAGTCCAACATTCTTGTTCAAATAGACAAAGATCCAAACGCTATTTGCCTGAATGTACCTCATGTCCTAGCAGATTCATGCCCTCTTTCCAACATTAACAAGAAAGGCATTTGCTGGCCTTGACAACAACAACACAAATCCCATGAACAAATAAATATTAACTTTTTTTTGCTTAATAGAATTTACAAAATAGCTGGTTGTGATTATCAACATAACAGGGGCTACATTTGAAATATAAATCCTTGGTTGTGAACCACTTTGGGACATTCAATGGATAAAAACAGACGACAATACGTAAATGCAGGTTACTTGTTAATATCGCAATGCTCCTTCATAGATGGTTTAGATTTTTCTTACCGGCAGATATTGTCTATAGCAATGTCCCTCAGCTGTTCATACATAGATGGCTGGTTTTTCTTTGATGATAACACAGTTGCCTCGGAGTGCTCATTTGTTACACTTATCTTGATGTCAGAACCTCCTATAAAAGAACAAAATAACATTGTTATAGGGAAATCTAACAGACAAGTGATTTAAAACATACAAACGTTTTCAGAAATAATATTTGGGGCACGTATATAGTTCAGCAAGGCTTCTGTGCCTGTGACTGCCTCTACCACTGAAGACACGAGATGGTGACAATTTAATTCCTGCAACATAACCTGTTAACAAGATCTCTCACATTAATGGGCTGAATACAATGAAACTTGATAGAGATAGGATATGGCCCAAGAAGGAACTGATTAATTTTTTGTGAAGATTAATGACCTGGATCTTGGAGTATTTTTAAAAGGAACCATTAACGTTATGAGACAGGGAGAAACTAACTTTTTTTAGGGAAAAAGAAAAAATTGTATGCTGTTTTATTTAGAACATTGTGAATTATTTCAGCTGCTATGGTGGAATTCATCATAACTGTGATGTGGGCAGAGTTTTCAGAACAGGTTGATGAATATGGTTGGCCTTAAGTCGCCTCAGAGATAAAATTTGTTAAAAAATATTTTCTTTTTAAATTTTATACCAGCACAGCATTAAACCAGGCCTCAAGGAAGAGCAGTGCAATTGGAATAATGCTGAGTTAATACTAAGGTTTTGGAGTAGATTTGTAGCTCGGGGCATGGGTGTTGAGGTTGGTTGGCTCGCCGAGCTGGTTTGTTGTTCCGCAGACGTTTCGTTACCATGCTTGGTAACGTCCTCAGTGCAGCCTCTGATGAAGCGTCGGTGTTTTCTCCCGCCTGGTTTTTAAACTTTGAAGTCCGTTGCGATGGATTGCCTCACTTCCGGGTTTCCTCCATAGTGGAATGTTAATACTGATCTATTGACTGGTCCCATCACTTATAGCAATGCTTCATTGTAGCAACAGAGATTTTATCTAAAGGTTGCTTATTTCTCTATCATAAACTATACAGAATATAACAAAATGAGCAAGCTGTAGCAGTAAGTTTAATCACTGTGTACTTAAGACATTGTAGGCTAATCTTTCTTCTCAATGCTTCTGCCAATAAAACAAATTTCCTCATTGTAAAATTTCCTCGATGTTTTTTTAATGAAGGTCATTGCCACTTTCACAATTTGCAACAGATCATACTTGTGCTTTAAGCATCCAGTTACCTGAATTGTACTGACTGTGGTATTTGTACACCTTGACGAGTACTGGTGAAGGGATCACCAAAAAATCTCTCAGTGATGCTGTGACAGAATGAACTGCGACAGGGAATCGTTCACACAAATGTCCCAGACCCTGGTCAGATAAAAGAATTTGATAAGCAAAATACAAGCAATATTCACAAATGTATGATGATAGCAGCAAGGAGAATAACCGCAAAGAGAAAGAAAACCACTAAAAAATATTAACTCTAAATGCAAAAGCCTAATTGTCAATGTAATGCTTCGCTGAAACTATCCCAAAAATGGTTTGCACCTGTTAAAAACTTATCAGACTGCCACTTCATCATCAAACATGATAAAATAGCAAAAGTATTATTGCGATCACTTTCACAGTTCCATGACATACCTGGTAATTTCTCCAATAGGGGAAGTCTTGTAGATGCATGCACTTCCCATTCACAGAAAATTACATCTTGTTGTCAAGTAGTTCTATTCATATACCCACATTTCGAATTGTAAAACCTGATTCACGGTTGCAAAAGAAGTTGTCTGTGTAAACTCATCACACTGTAGTTATTCTGTTCTACCAATGGTTGCACTGTGATACTTCAGTTTTGTATCGCTTCTCCTCAGCTGTACTGCAGACAATCTTACGTTTCAAACAACTCTATTCCTCTGCTTCACAAGTTGCCATAATTGTTAGTACTCAAATGATAAATAATTATAACTATTAATCATATTTCAAAAGAATAAAAAGTGTATTATGTTGAAATAAGGAGTCAATATTGATGCACACTGTTTCAAATATGACCACCTCTGACTCCAGTTCAACTGAAGATGTGACGATCTCAACTACAAATCTGCAACACAACACAGGAGGTCGACTACTGCATTTTAAAAAAGATTATGTTAAAAGGAAGGTGAGCGGAAGTCACAGACAGAAAACATAATAGACAGTGAAGAAGGTTTTCTAAGATTACAAAGGGAGCTTGATCAAATGGGTCAATGGGCTGAAAAATGGCAGATGGAGTTCAATCTGGATATATGCGAGTTATTGCATTTTGGTACAACAAGAAAGGGTAGAGCTTATACAATTAACGGTAGGGCCTTGGGTAGTGTTGCAGAACAGAGGGACCTAAGGGTGCAGATACATAATTCTTTGAAATTTGCGTCACATATAGACAAGATGGTTAAAAAGGCGTTTGGCACGCTTGCCTTCATTGCTCAGTCCTTTGTGTACAGGAGTTGGGACATTATGTTGAAGTTGTACAGGACATTGGTGAGGCCTCTTCTGGAATACTGTGTCTAGTTCTGGTTGCCCAGTTATAGGAAGGATATTATCCAGCTGGAGAGGGTTCAGAAGAGATTTACCAGGACATTGCCAGGTATGGAAAATCTGAGTTATAAGGAAAGGCTGGATAGGCTGGGAATTTTTTCATTGGAGCATAACAAGTTGAGAGGGAACCTGATGAAAGTTCATAAAATAATGAGGTATACAGTTGATGGTAGTTGTTTTTACTCTAAGGTGGAGAATTTCAAGACTAGGGGACACATTTTTAAGGTCAGAGGAGAGAGATTTAGAAAAGACATAATAGGCAATTTTTTTTTTTTTAACGCAGAGTGTGGAACACAGTGTTCGCATGTGGAATGAACTTCCTGATGAAGTAAATGCGGGTACAATTACAACATTTCACGGACATTTGGATGGATATATGAATACGAAAGGTTTGGAGGGATATGGGCCAGAAGCAAGCACGTGGGACTAGTTTACTTTGGGATTATGTTCGGCATGGGCTGGTTGGATCGAAGGGTCTGTTTCCATGTTGTATAACTTTTCAAAAAAAGTATTGTGGCCTAAATGGCCGATCCTGGATGCCTGAACCATGTCCTGAAAAACTCAGTGAAAGGTTTGTGCTTTTCACTTTTGAAAAAAATCTCTTGATTAAATAGCTCGCCAACACTCATGCTCTCAGGTCCTCCCATACACCCATCCCTAACCTCTCATGTCTCAGACCCTTGCCCAAGCCTCTTGCCCACTGCCACCCTTCTGACCCAAAAAAACCATCACCCTCGAACTTCACCCTGCTCTCACAGGTCATGACAATTTTCAAGCAAACAGGGCCACATTTGTAAAGGATGTGGGAAGCACTGCTTCATGGAAAAACACAGGGTATAATGTAATATCTCTAGTGTGTCAAACAGAGTAGCACAGGAACAGGCCCTTCAGCCCACCATAACACCATTCGAAACTATGTCTGTCTGCCTGCTCATCATCCATATCTCTATGCCCTGCATGTTCATGTGGCTGTCTAAATGACTCTTAAACATTGCTATCATCTCTGCTTCTACCAGTTCCCTAGCAGTGCAGTCCACCCTTTGTGTAAAAACTTGCCTCACACGTTTACTTTCACCTTCAACCGATGCCCCCTCGTATTCTACATTTCAAACCCGGGAAAAAGACTCCAAATATCCATCCTATCCAAGCCGCTCAAATTTTATACACTTCAATATTCATTGTCAAAGTTGAAACATACCTGTAGACAACAAATCAGCAGAGGCATGTGTGACAGAATTATCTTACTGGATGTCTTTGACTGCAAATTCTCTGAAAGCTTTGAGCAGAGATTTTCTGCACCTTCATTAAAAGAATTCCATAAGTTAAACCTCTGAAGAAATAGAATGTGTTGTTATACTATAAAATTATACTGCACTTCATGTTACTATTATATTTCATGCTCATTATTCTCAAAGATTGCAGTATCTGAAGCTGCACTTAAAAAAACTATCTTTAGAATAACAAATATACAAATAATTCTAAATGCTCGCACTGTTTCTATTAAAGCTGATCTCAATGAATTTCTCAGCAATTTCAGATGTATCAAAAATACAAAGTATATAAACTAATAAAGGTACTAATTGTAATGTGTTCAAACAAAATAGGTCTTCAGTATGTCCTTTGGGTGAGTGGAGTTTAAGCCAATCAAAATAACAGATCATGTCAATAAAACTTTATCTTTCACATGAAAAACAGGTCAGAAAACATAATCACCAATTTTCATCAAATGACTCAGCTGTTAGCTACAAAGCCTGGTGTGGTACTGAGCCAGGCCTGATTCTTGGATTGTGCCGAGTTGGTTGGTCTCAGATAAAGAAGCACCAAGCTATCAGCTGCAAATTCACTGAGAGAGAAAAGAAATGAACCAGGATTTGGGGAGGTGATAGTCTAGTGGTATTACCGCAAGGCTGTTACTCCAGAAACCCAGCTAATATTCTGGGGAACCAGTTCGAATCCCACATGGCAGATGCTGGAATTTGAATTCTATTGAAAAAAATCTGGAATTAAGAACCTACTGATGACCACATAACCATTGTTGATTGTCCAAAAACCCCTTCTTGGTTCACTAATGTCCTTCAGGAAAGGAAATCTACCATCCTCACCTGGCCTAGCCTATGTGACTCCAGACCCACAATGATGTGGTTGACTCTCAATTGCCCTCTGAAATAGCCCAGCAAGCAACTCGGTTGCATCAAATCGCTACAAAGTCTCAAAGAAATTAAACCAGACAGATCACCTGGCAGCAACCTAGACACCAGAAAAGACAACAGCAGAAACAGCCCTGTCGACCCTGCAAAGTCCTCCATACAGTAACTCTATCTGGGGGCTCGTGCCAAAATTGGGAGAGCTGTCTCACAGATTCAAATGTCCCACTGCAGGACAGTGCCGCTCAGTTAAGGTCAGAAGTGATGATGTTGGCTGATGATTGCACACAGTGTTCAGAATAATTTGCGACTCCTCAGATACTGAAGCAGTCCGTATTCAAAAGCAATAAGATCTGGACCACATCCAGGCTTGGGCTGACAAGTAGCAGGTAATATTCACATAGAAATGCCAGGATATGATCATCACCAATAAGAGACAATCGAACCCCCACCCCCTGACATTCAATGATGTTACCATTTCTGAATCCCTCATTGTTAGCAGCCAGAGATAACCATTGACCAGAAACTCAACTGGACTCACCACATAAACACAGTGACTACAAGAACAGGCCAGAGGCTAGGAATACTGTAGGGAGTAACTCACCTCCTGACTTCCCAAAGCCTGTCCACCATCTACAAGGCACAAGTCAGGAGTGTGATGGAATACTCCCCACTTGCCTGGATGGGTGCAGCCCCATTTACACTCAAGAAACTTGATACCATCCAGGACAAAGCAGCCGCTTGATTGGCACCACATCCACAAACATCCACTCCCTCCACCACCAACACTCAATAGTAGCAGTGTGCACTATCTACAAGATGCACTGTGGAAATTCACCAAAGATCCTCAGACAGCACCTTCCAAACCCATGACCACTTCCACCTAGAAGGACAAGGGCAGCACATGGGAACACCATCACCTGCAAAATCCCCTCCAAGCCACTCACCATCCTGACTTGGAAATTGATTGCCGTTCCTTCAGTATCGCTGGGTCAAAATCCTGGAATTCCCTCCCTAATGGCATTGTAGGCCAACCTGCAGTAGGTGGACTACAGCGATTCAAGAAGGCAGCTCACCACCATTTTCTCAAGGGGCAACTAGGGATGGGCAAAATATGGTGGGCCCAGCCAGCGACACCCATATCCCACAAATGAAAGAAAAAAATTCCCCTGTTTGATGTTTATCCGATGATTCCGGATTCAAAAAAAGCAGATCTCAACACAAACATCCTCCTCAACTGGATAACATTCCAGCCCTGTGGAGAGAGAGTTGGAGCAAAGGGCCGCCAGGAAAACAGATGGCTCCCTGATGTATTCCTGGTGCTGAGGTTTCCTCAGGCTGAGTTGAGAAAAGAATCAACAACTTGCAGCACAAAGCAGGCAGTCAGGTGATTGAGACCCCAAATTAGGGGCAGTTTTGTAGCTTTGTACGGCATTTTCCCCCTCCCTTTGTGGGTGCAGAAACTGCAAGCCCAATGGCCTGTGACAATTTGGGGCAGGAACAGCCATTAGAAATAGAAACTCATATCATGTTGCCAAGGGTTTGAGCATGAAAAGCCACAATCACGGTGCATCACAATGCAACATCTCTCAATCCCAATGGACATCCTCCACCTCCGCCAACCGTCATCCCCAAAATTTTAGTCATTTTCTGCGCTGCTGTGTAGGCCAATGAAGGTATCCACAGACCTATTATTTGGTTGGCAGCATTGAGAGTCTGCCAGGGGTGTCTTAATTGAACAGACAGCACAGACGTGATCAAATTAGGAAATTAAGCACAGCCCCTAAGCCAGGCTCATTGCTGGGAAGTATGAGCTCAGGTTCTCCATTTGGCCCTTGAGAATATCCAACCCTTGGTGTTTAGAATAACACACAAGAAACAGCCAAATTGGTCAAGGCAATGAAGTGTTCCCTTCATAAAATGATCTGGGTAAGGAGATTCAAGTAAATAAAAAAAAGTCACTGATATTTAAATAAAAAGTCGTACGGCAACAATACAAAACATGGTCAACATTTTTAACTTAATTAAACCATTCTGTTGGCAAAGTTATTGTACAGAAAACGAAAACAAAACATGAGATTTCTGGTTTTTAAATATTCTCTACCTTGCTCGTCCTTAACAGCCCACACCATTAAATCCACACATGCTGCATTTGCTTGACACCTGAGTTTCAGAGGGTTAAACTCATGATGGATATACTCCGTATCATGCAGGATCTTCTGCAGTTCAGACTGGCTACTGTTAAACTGCTCGAGGACAAAATCATGAACCTCCTTCACAAATGCAGTCTGGAGATCTGTGAGGACAAAACTGGTGAAAGCTGACAGTGCAGAAGAGAAAGCAATTTTGGCAAATGGATGTATCCAAGCTCCGGAAACCAGATTCACTTATTTACAGCAATACTCTCCTGTCAGAATGGAATGAACAAAGGGTAGCTTTTGGGTTACTTGGAATATTAGTAAGTGACAAACCTATACATCTATCCCTCTAAAACAGTTATGAAAAATATTATTAATATCTGTTCATTATATGCTTACTAAAAACAAACTGTGCCCTTAAATAAATAACCAATGTGATCCTCATGGTGTAGCTCAAAAATAAATTCTAAACTGAGTTTGGATGAATAACGAGTTTGTGGCCTTGTTCAAAGATTGGAAATTCTGTGTGAACAAAATGCAAATTCCTGTTTTATTTTGCAGCATTCAGTGATTACTTTTAGAATCACAAAGTAGGTTCACCTATGTTACAACAGCGAACCGCCATACACTAATCTGAACTATGCAAACAAGTTTGAACAAACTTGCATTGTCATTTCAATCCAGAGATAGCTTCTGTGAGACATGCTACAGTTTTCCTCAGTCCTTATAATCAGCAGTGCTCAGATGCATCATTTGTAGTTAGACAGAATGCATTACAAGTGATTTTAGAACGCCATGTAACTCAAAGGACTATGTTGCTTCAGGGATATCTATTATGAAAAATGGAAGGGAGGAAAGGACAGCACTTGCATTTATGTAGCACCTCTCCTAAGCTGAGGACAGCTTAATATGCTTCACAGGCAATGTAATACCTATAAAATTTAGCTACTGTTCCAGTGCATGAATTAGAACAAATCAGTTTGCTCATAGCGAGCATCAATAAACAGCCTAATATAGTAAGCAGATAATAAAAACAATAATGCTGGAAATACTCAGCAGATAAGACAGATGGTGGAATAGTTTTGTTCAGGTCCATGATCTTTCATTAGAACTAGAAGAAAATTAGGGATATCATAGATTTCAAGAAAATAGTGGGACAGGGAATGGGGTGGGTGCAGGGGAATGAGCAAAAGGGCAGGAGAAATTACATGACAGAAGGATTGATGATACAAAGTGAACAGGATTAGAACCAGAAATAAAAACGAAGTGGATCGAAATGAGGTGCAAACTAAAATAACTGAATCATTAACAAGCACTGATGTCTGAAAAATGGGCAGTGATTGTGATTTGAAATTGTTGACCTCAAAGCCTTTGTACTTACTTAAAGCCTGCTACATCTTGAATATTTTTCCCGTTCTGATCAAAGGTTATAAATTTGAAATAACAATTCTCCATCCATGAATGCTGCCTGACCTGCTGGATGATTCAGAGTTCCAGCATATGCAGTATAGTGTTTTTGCATTAAGAGTTGGATGATCCACTTCACTTTTGATGGCTAACATCAGGTTCATTGCATTGCAATGGCTAGAAGGGCAAGGATGCTGCACTAGTTAGTGTAAGTATCAACTTTATGAAAATTCTGTACTTTGATTCACCGTAAGCAATGTCATGGGCGAAACAAGCCAATAAACAAAATAGTACACCTCATGTTAACCTCTCCTTTGCAATTCAACAAGTGACATGTGAATTGTAAATGTATGTTGTGCTTCAGAATTCAGGTCACAATCTCTCTGAAGGTGGGGCCAGGGCCCTTTTTGCTGTGGGACTGGGTTTCTGTGGAAGAATTTTATTTTTTACTGACATTGTTCTAATGCTTGGTTAGAAATGGTAACCTGCATTCTAGTGCCCTTTATCTTTGCATTTGCTTCACATCAGGCAAGACCAAATCAGCTCATTCATCGAAACGAAGCAGACATGACTCTGCTATCTCCACTCCCCATATAAAAGGTATAAAATAGCTAAAATGTCAAAAAGTACCATCGCAAACACACTATTGATGAACAGAAGTCCCAGGAAGATGTTGCGCTCTTGTTTATATCAGCATCTCAAGGGAATTCAATTCCTGAGCTTTAACAAAAATTGATAAATAATACTAATAAAGAAAGGAGCTTACCCTTCATGTGATACAAAGTGTCTCTCAACATTTTAAACACCACCACATAAAGAGGGTCACTGAAGTTTCGATAGTACAGATCCAAATTGGCATTTGCCTAAATATTAAAATCAATTGAACAATTATCATATCATTCACTTCAGAAAATCAAACACGCTTTGATACTATTCAGACAGAATCTTTGAAAATTAAAGTCTGTGGCCATGTTCTTTACACAAAATAATTAGCAAAGGTTACATTTTCAAATAGATCATTGATAATAGCCATTATCCAGTCAAGAGGTTTGTGACATTTTTTGAAAAACACTTATTATAGAATCTTCGAGCACAAATGGAGGCTAATCATCCATCATGTCTGTGCTAGCTCTTTCAACGAGTCCCAGCTTTACTTTTTCTCCCAAACTCTGAAAACTACTTTTTTTGTAGCATAAATGTAGTTTCCTTTTGAAAGTCATCAGGGAACCTGCTTCCAACACCCCCTCAGACAGTGTACTCTAGGTCCTAACTTCTACCATTAATTACATGGAACAATAGCAGGTACACTTGATTTTAACTTTCCTATCAGCCAAATAGTTAACAGATGCAAATAAAATGATCTCCTTCTGCAGGATCCGGGTTACTTTAGGGTGAATATGGTATTCATCAAGGAAACATTAACATTATAGAGTCAGAGTCACACAGCATGGTCACACCCTTCAGTCCTACCAGTCCATGCTGAACATAACCCAAATTAAACTAGTCCCACCCACCTGCTCCTGGCCCATATTCTTCCAACCGTTTCCTACTCATGTACTCAGGTACCAAAAGTGTCTTTTAAACGTTGTAACTGTGCCAAATCCAGCACTTCCTCAGGAAATTCATTCCACATGCACACCATCCTGTGTAAAATAAAATTTGCATCTCATGTCTTTTTTAAATCTCTCTCCTCTCATCTTAAAAATATGACCCCGGTCTTGAAATCCCCCATCCTAGGGAAAAGACACTTCCATTCACCCTATTCATACCCCTCAATATTTTATAAACTTCTATCAGGTCACCTCTCAAACTCCTACACTCCTGTGAAAAAATGACCCAGCCGATCCAGCCTTTCTTTCTAACTCAAACCTTACATACTTGGAAACATCCTGGTAAATCTTTTCTCTACCCTCTCTAGCTTAATAATATCATGCTGTCGGGGAATAGAAGATTTCCAATTTGAACAAGCACACCCAGATCTGATAAGAGCGACAGCATTAACACTGTGTAATTCTACAATGCAGAAAACAATGTGGCTGCTCCCATAACAAGTACTTTTCATGCCTTGCTGTTGTGGTCCAGAGTGTGTGGTTGGAATCTAGTCCATAATTCACCGCCAACCACCTATATAATCAACCAGAAGAGTCTGCAAACAAAGCAAATGGCTATCACAGAGCAAATCACAGCCACAAATTCTAAAGCACAGATAAATGCAGAAGAATCCCACAATAAACAAAGCAGACTGAAATCATCACTGACGAAGCATGAAGATACATCCAAAACCACGTGTAAAATGGGATTGGGAGTGAGGCAGCGAAGGGAATGCTGAGCAACATGCTCCAATTTCACAAATCACTCTGAAAATGCATCAGTATGATAGGTTTTTCATTTCAGCCATCCTGTGAGCTCCTTCAGAGATGGCTAACCTCAGGCTAGATTTATTGCCACTAATCCCGGAATAGTCTGAAATCTAATCCTTCATTGCCAACTTGAACCTTGGACAGAATTTTGTTCTGTTTGGATTTGAATCCAGTTCTTTGAAATGGAAGGACAGTGCAAACCCCCGTGTTATCTAGATTTCCTTCCACTTTCATTTTAAATAATGTAAAACTTGGGAAAGATGATCCCTAGTGGCAATGTCACCAGACTAATAATCCAGAGGCCCAGACTACTGCTTTGGGGACATTGTTTCAAGTCATAACACAGCAGCTGATATTTATTAATTACATTTTAATTCTCTGGATCCAAAAATCAGTTTCGATGACTGTGGACTGTTGTCGATTGTCATAAAAACCTCAATAATTTGTTAAAGCCCCTTCTGGAGTAAGGAAGAAAATTTGCCATCCTTACCTGGTCTGCACGACATGTGACTCCAAACTTACAGCTATATGGTACATTCTTAACAGCCTTAAGTGGCTGAGCAAGGTGCTCAGTTCAAGGGAAATTAGGGATGAACAACAAATGATGGCCTTGTCAGTGATGCCCACATCCCATGAAACAATGAAAAAAAAACAAGATTCATAAAGCAGTAGACTGTACAATGCCAAAGCAAAGAATAATTCCTCACCTCAATAACCTCTGCCAATATTGCATCCAGTGTTTTCAAAACTGATTCAGCCACAATCCTTTTAACCTGGGAGAAGAAATATAGAAACTTTTTTCAGTCATAACTCTAAGAATGAGTGACTGAACAATAACATACGTGAGTGTCTGAGAGTGTGCAGGAGTGGGGCGGTGAGTGGGAACGCACGCAGACGGCGCGTGAGAGCATGCATGCATGCATGGGGGGCAAAAGTGCACAGGGGTTGGAGCAGGCTTGTGAGAGCACGAGCGAATCAGAGAGTGCCAGCGAAACAGAGAGCAAATGAACGAATTCGAGAAACCATTATCATTTGAAACTTCTTAACTACCCTCTGAAATGGTCTAGCAAGCCACTCAGGTGTAAATGCTATCAAGTTCCAAACAAGATACAAAACCGGATGGACCACCTGGCACCAGCAAAAAACAACGGCAGAAACAGCCCTGTCGACCCCAAGCCTCCTTACCAGGATCTGGGGGCTAGTGCCAAAATTGGGAGAGCTGTCTCACAGACTAGTCAAATAACAGCCTGACATTGTCATACTCATGGAATCATACCTTACCAATAATGTCCCAGACACCACCATCACCATCCCTGGATTGGTCCTGTCCCACAAGCAGGACAGACCCAGCAAAGATGGCACCACAGTGGTATACAATCAGGCTCCAGACACTCTGAAATCTCATGGCATCAGGTCAAAGAAGGGCAAGGAAACCTCTTGCTGATTACCACCTACTGACCTTCCTTGGTTAATGACTCTGTGCTCCTCAACAACATTTGAAGGAAGGACCAAGGGCTGTAAGGGCACAGAACGTATTGTGGGTGGGGGTTTTCAAATCCACAATCAAAAAGGACTCGGCAGCAGTACTACTGATTAAGATGGTTGGATGCTAAAGGACATTGCTGCTAGACTGGGTCTACAGGAAGTGATGAGGGAACCAACAAAACGGAAAAACACATTTAACCTCATCCTAACAATGTGCCTTTTGCAGATGCACCTGTCCATGACAGTATGGATAAGAGTGACCACTGCACCTTCACACAGAGAATACCTTCCATCATGTTGTACGGGACTATCATCGTGCTAAATGGTGATGGATCAAGCAGCTCATGACAGGGAATCAGTGAGGATTTGTATTTTTCTTCTTTGTCAAGTTGATTTTAAGTTGTAAACTTAATTCAATTTTATTCTGGAGTGTTCCTCCAATAAAACCAAGAGAAACATGGGAAGTAATCCACCATTGATTTTTCTGGTGCTCAAAATAGGCAGCTGTCACAGATGGACATTAGGCCAAAGTGCAGCATTCAGGTTAAACAGTGCTGAAAGTAAGGTTAATAATTGGATATGCTGACATAATTCACCCCTTTCCAAATTCATAACATAATTATGTACTTGTACTTGCAAATTCTTATATTCACATGTCTGGGAAAAATTTGTTACCATGTAGATACTAGTGCTGACACATCAGCTGCTCGTGCACACTTACAGCATGATGCGTTTACACTGGTATTACACATGTTGAACTAGGATTTCACAATAGAAAAACCGTCAGGAAGTTAAGGCTTTATATAATGAAGTTGTGAAGCACAAATACAGAAGTAATCAGTCCTTGACAAAAAAAAAAATACAATGGCCTATGTTTGAAACATGAAGAGAAGTAGAAAGTGCACTATAGTGGAAAGAGAGGTTTGAAAGCGGTCATCAAAATTCAAGAACATACATACCATTTGGAGTAGCTGTCGGAGGTATTCTAGTGGAATATGAAATTCTTTTGTACTGCAGCCAGTGAACAGTGGGGAGACAGAAAAACTTGAGCTAATAGTAGAAAAGTAATATTGAGGATCCACGGTACTGCCATCAGGGAGATATGAACCTAAAGCACAAAAGGCCAAGATTCTCGATTAAACAGGAGAACAGAATCTAAACTTTTCCAAGAACCATCAAACTACAGCACAGGAGGAGGCTGAACAGTCATTCATGTCTCTGCTGGTTCTTTGTTAATCATCATTTTGTATTACTGCCCCTCAGCCACAGTTACCCAACCAAAGGAAATAGATATTTCCCTATCCACTACACTAAAATTCTTCACATTAAAAAAAAAAAAATAAAAAAAGTTAAAAAAATCGCTAAAATTCTTCCCAGCCCCAATATCTCAAATCTCTTATGCAGTTTCCTAGTCATTTCCTGCTGAATATCATCTGAGGCTTTAACATCCTTTCCGTAATAGGGCCCAAACAATGATATTGTGTCTTTGGTGGCCTAACTAATGCAACATATACTTATTCAAAACATTATATTTCCTGTCCATTTACTCCATCCATCAGTAGTGTCACTTCCTACTTCCTACTAAATTTTACTTGAGACCCATTGTTAAATACCCTCTCATAATCCATACAAGAATACATTATACTGAATACCCTCCCTCTATCCTTCAAAGAAACACTTTTACTTGTTCAACATTTGTCCAAACAAATTTTGTTCACTTACCTCTGTTTGCTCGTGTTTGAAATATTCAGTAATTTTATCTCAAATCATATGATTGCATAGGCACACATTCATTGACACTGTGCTTCTATAATATAATATTCAGCACATTTTAAATTACTGCGGGTTTATTCAAAAATGCCCTGATGTAACCTGTGCAACAGCAGAGATCCAACACTTTACCTTCAAAATAGTGCAAATTGGTCCCTCCAGGTGAACAAGGAGCTGCAGTTGTGCGTTCAGGGCTTGCCTGCAGTATTAAAGAAAAAGAATGATGATGTGCAAAAACGGCAAAGTTTGGTACTCAACTGAAGCAACAGCAATGACAACCTCGTTAACAGCAGCGGATTCAGAATTTGAGAGAGATTAAACTCAGTGGGTGAAAATAAACTTCAGGATTAAGCAGCATGCATACCAAAACGAGTTAGCAAAATAAAGCTATTTCTAAATTTATTTTTCTCTGAAAATCTCTTTTCTTTCCCAATGTAAATTCTAATTTAACAGTATGTTTTTTTTTCTTGTAAGAGACAAAAATTGTTTCAAAATGAGGCTTGGCATATATTTTGCAACTTAAAGAACTTTGCAAATTTTAAGTTATTTTACCCACACTCCTAAATTTAATAATGAGGCAGCAATGTCAGCTTTCAGAAACTTAATGCTCCTAGCAAACAATAAAATTGAAGTTTGGTTTTAACCTGGGAAACGCTGGACACACTGCAGGTTTTGTGCCGTAAACTATCACACGACTGGCAGGCAGTCAGAAGGGAGCTGGGTAGGATTGATCGAAAATCATTGAAAGAACGCCGTCTCAGTCCATCCATCTCATGTGGAGCTTTAAGTGATTGCGGTGTTATTTTCGGAAACAGTTTTGAAAGAAGAGATTCGTCTGCGTTACTGTAACGTCCAAATGCTCTACCAATTCCAATCAAGCAAGGCACTGCATACCTGCACAGGTTTTCTGCACAAAGACAAAACCTGTTGATATAGAGCAAGCTGACAGAATACAGGCATTGAACTGGATACTTACAATTAGTGCTTTCGCAATGACACAATACAAAAATGTACATTTCAACAAAATCCTTTCATACTATCTCCAGCATGTGGAAACTGAACTGGTAGATATGACACCAAGATAAAAATACAGTTTTAGCCTTTGAAATATTGCCCTAGTCTAAGTGCAATTATAGCTAATACACAGAAAATTAATGCAAACTGATCCATAATCTCAGGAGTGACCTTCTTAGTTCTTGAGCAGTTCTTCCCTTAAGCCTACAAGTTCAAACCACCTATCATTATCCTTACCAAGGTTCTGGGACAAAAGACACCTGGATCCTCTTTTCAAACCAAAATTCATCCAATCCATTAAAAAAATGCCTGCTACAGCTTTTTGATGCATTGCTGGTAATCTGTGTAGTACTCCATCATCCGATTACTAAAAACGGTGTCAAAACTTATTTTCATCTCACACTCTTAACTTTGTCTCTGCCATTATATCCTACATTTCACTGAACCATGGTTCTGAATCCAAGTTTTCAGTTCCAGTCCACAACTCGGTTTAGTAATTTCTTCACTAAAACGTCAACCAAGATCCTGTATTTTCAGAGCAGTACATAAATACCTTTATCCTGAGTCTGAGGCGCTAGACACATCCCCAGCAGAACCTCCATGACATCCAGTATAGCCTCCAGAACCTGTAAAATTATTTTTTCAAAAATCAAATATGACAAAATTCAATATCTTGAGATGCAAACTTATACATTTGAGATTTGTAGTGTAAAGGGATTTTTAAAAAATATATTTTCAAGGGATGGGCCTAACCCGACCTACCTTTGAACTGAATGGCTTTTCTAGTCATTTCAGAGAGAATGTAGGAATCAACGTCAATGTTGCAGGCCTGCAGTCACAAGTAAGTCAGACCAGAGCAGCATGGCAGATTACCTTCCCATTAGAAAACTAGATAGGTTTTTGTAGCAATCAATGGCAGTTTTGGGTCTTCAATAATTCACGTATTTGATTTTTAAATTCCATCAGCTGCTGTAAATTACTAGCCCAGTGACAATACCACTACCTTCTCCCTCTAATCATCACAGTACTACAGAACCACCAAGCAAAACAAACAGTTTCTTAAGACATGCAGTCATAGAAGAGGAACTTGAAAACGTGAAGTATTACTTCCACCTGCTAAAGATAATAACTCTTTTCTTCAAGGCGGTTTATATCAATTAAATTGTAACAATAAATGCCATCCATTTCAAATTGGAACTCTTAAAATGAAGCAAATCACCATATAGTCTCAACTACTCATTACTAGGATTTGTGACATTTGTAACAAATCATTTTTCTGAAATATTGAATAATGCCTTACCTGTACCCTTAACGTAGGGTCCCTTTGGGCTACGTCAAAAAGTAGTGTCACCAAACAGAAACTGAAATTTTCAGCAACAGGAAGTTTTCCTGCAAGGTTGAAAAATGAATTAAAAAATTATAAATTGCAAATATTTGTCCTTGTACACACCTCCCCATCCTGTCAACACAACTGATATAATGGACTGCAACGGTGCAGGAAGGCAACTCACCACCACCTTCTCAAAGGCAACTAGGGATGGGCACTAAGTGCTGATCCAACCAGCAACACCCATATCCTGAAAATTAATTGAAAAAAATTTAAGCTGGATCCTCAGCAACTTGCCATTCTATGCCATCAACTTGTGGTGTTGATACTCCAACATACTGGGCACAATGTGCAAAGTCCTTCACTGACATTAATAAGACTAAGGCTGAACTACAGTTCAATCAATGCCATGGAGTGACGTGTTACAGAAGCACGGTTCATGTTGGTTTCACATATCATAGGAGCAAGACATTCTAGCCAAATAGAGTTTTTGCTCCATTCAACACCTTCCTATAGCGCAATTTGAAAGTAACAGGATAATACCTTCTTTCACTCCAATCAAAACACAAAAATAGGCCATTCAGCCCAAAAAACATTCTATTTTCTTACGAGTTTTATCAGTCTGTGTTAATAAATTTTCTCATGGGAAGTCTAGCACAGCTCAACAGTAAAAACTGAAAGGGTTTCCTGGGCACCGGGATTAACCACATTGATGATTACTTTAAAATTTGCAAGTTATTGTTGCCAGATTGCTTAAGAGCAGATTAATGAAAATAGCTTTTAAGTCATAAAACCAGGAGCTAGACTTACATATTGCAACATACAAGTTAACCTTTGAAGCCTTGAAAAATCCTTTCAAAAACGGATTCTCCTATACACTGAGTATAAAACATGAACCACTGGTGTTGGTGGTTGCCAGTTTAAAATGTGACTAAACAACACTGACAATTCAAATTAAATCTGCGTGACATGTTTTAGTGAATGAATTAGTTCTACAAAAACATCTTTAACCGTAATTAAATGTTGTTTCGAAATAAAATGTTTTTAAACCATCAAATTCATCATCTTTGGCATCCAATACAAAAGGAGTTCATCTAATTAACTGAGTCATTGTCATTTTAGCATCATCATAAAAGAGCTTAAACTGTCTCAGCAGCAAATAATCCCTTCAATGCTTTAACCAAATACTTCTGATCTCAAACTTAGGTGAGGTAATGTCTTTTTTAATAGTCCTAAACTACCACCTTGTCTCAGGGACAACATTTTTACATATTCAGCATCTGCTAAGACTTCTACAAAACTGCCAAACTCCAACCCAAAAAGATTTCATCTGAAAGCTGAATGCACTACTCTATTTACTTTGTTCCTTCAAAACACTCCCATTGAAAACAAAACTCCCTAACTCTCTAAAACGTCTCTCTCTCTCTCATCAAATGTTTTTTTTAAAAAAACATGGCTACAAAAATACTTACAACTTCTTCAGGCACAAGGACCAAAACCAACATGCAACTAGCTCAAATCCAAACTTGAAAGTAATAGCACACACCTTGCATCACAATGATCCGAACCTATTAAGCTTCTTGCTTCGTATAGGAGACGTGCTATACATATTATTAATCCACAACTTCACACTACTTCATCATTCAACCACTGTCATGGACTGACACAAAACCTCAAGCAAGGAACTTTATTTCTGGGATAACACGGTGTAGAGCTGGATGAACGCAGCAGGCCAAGCAGCATCAGAGGAGCAGGAAAGCTGACGTTTCGGGTCGAGACCCTTCTTCAGAAATGGGGGAGGGGAAGGGG